ACCAGATAAGATATTAAATAAGCCTAACAAAACTCATCTTTATTAAGGTTTGAAGTTTAAATACACAAGTTTTCAAGGCGAGGAAAAAGGTTTGCCTTTATTATGCTTAAAGCATAAATAACTTCGTTTTGTTTACGCAATTTCAATTACATACATCATCAATTTTATGCATAAAAATATTAATCACGATATTTTTTTTTTTTTATGTTACAAGGGGCAGACGAGCAGACAATGTTATTATCACCATTCATTACTTAACATACAAAACTAACGTTACTTGTTCGTGTTTAATGTCCACGAAGTTTACAACTTCAATTGTAGTACAGAGAAAGAAAATAAATGTTCCTTGAAATTTGATCGGCCCTCTCCAGATACCGTTTAGCAGTCTCTTTCTAGAGCCTTACAACAAACCCTTATTCACAATTATCTACTTAGAGATTTTTAGAATTTTAGATTTAGATATATGCACAATACTACCGCTGCTTCTTATGAAATACACAACGCTAAACCAACGACAATTTTTGGCCCAAATGTACTTTTTAATTTATATAGATGAGTTATTTATGGTTTGTCTCTGTGTGAGCACAAAATAAATGTTTTCTTTCTTTTTACGAATGGCAGTACTCGTAGACGTTGTTGAGGAAAAGCAGACTTACTAAGGTTTACAGAGCTCAAGATACTATCCGACTAAAACTTATTAGGTATTCAGTTTCTGTACAATAAAACCTAGAATAATACCTTGAATTGAAATATTTTAGTAGGTTATCGGCATACTGATAAACTCAGTGCTTGTTCCACGTATTTTTGTAAACGTGAATACGATTCAGGGTGCATTACTGATACATTTAAATTATATCTAACTGAATTTGTTTACGATACAAGTATGTGGAACTATTAAATTAGGTATGGTTTTTAAAAGCACGGTCTTTGAATTTTTTTATTCGCAGTGTTATACAGTTTTTACCACTCGTGGCTAAGTGGTACCTTAGCTGGTTGACACATTGCAAAATTAAGCAATCTAAGCCAGGTCAGTCTGTGGATTGGTGACCATTCTTAACACATTGAGACCCCTCCGTGCCTCGGAGAGCACGTTAAGCCGTCGGCCTCGGTTGCCATACGAGCATCTGCGGCAATCGTTACGGATAGTTGGAACCTTAAAAAGTCCGACATCAGTCTTTCTACAGAACTTCGATATCGCCTAGTACTTGGGTTCTGTGGAGGTCTGATGGAATTCAACCTGGTTTGGGTAAAGGCTCGGATAAAATACAGTTTCTACGTGTTGTTAATCAGTAACATTTTTTTGGCCAAAATAAAGATCGAGCACACGCACATTAGTTCTAGTGAAGGAGGCTTTTACTACGTTTGGTATCGTGATTAACGATATCAAATCTACATATAATATTCTATCCTATAGACACATGTAGTTAATGTTAATAATTATCTCTATTCTTATCTACTAATTAAATATTATCTGGTGCATAACTCTAAAATGGTTAGCCCGCTCATATCTCGGTTTATCGCTTCGCCAAAACCGAGGGTGAAGTGGTAGGTATGTCAGACTCGAACCGATTAATCCCACACGGTCTTTCATTGCAATCATATCTATTTCAGAGGACCTGAGATGCAAGTAAGCCTCCAAGAACCCCTTTAGACTTAAACAGCAGGCTACCACACCACGGTGTATAATCTCAATTCTTTGTTGAACCTTCTCCAAATAAGCGAGGCGCGCTTGCAACACATCAGATTTTTGCTCGTCATATAGTTTTAAAATGTCGGTTTGGTGACGGATTAAGAATACAGAGTGTCACCACCCCCATTCATCCCGTGGGTGTCGTAAGAGCCGACTAAGGGAAAAAAAACTAACAGCACTGCAGAGAGAAGGAAAACTTGACACAAACCCTATACCAACCAGTCTGGCCAGCGTGGTATAGTAGGCCAAAACCTCCTTTCTAAGGAGAGGCTTATGACCAGCAGTGGACTATTAAAGGCTCTGGATGATGATGATGATGATAGTTTTAAAAATGAGTAACAAGAGCATTTAAAATTTAAGTTTTTTTATTGTAATAATAGCGTTTAACAGTTTATTCTTCACTTGATATAGCACATTACTCAAATGCACATTCGCTCAGAGTTTGTAAAGGCTATAGAGTCAATGACTCACTTGTCTCGTCAAGTTTTTTGGACAAAAGTTGAAAATCCAGTTACGTAATTGCAGGAAAGTTATCAAGTATTTCGAAAAAGGTCCGCCTGCAGGCAGTTTTTTTCTGTTAGGTGCCAGCCATCTCTTGAGTATTTATTACATTTCTCTGAATTCGCATGTAAAATTAGGAATGCTTTTTTTTACATTTTAATGTTTCGATAAATTCGTTTTATGTCTACATACACGTAACATAAGTTGTAAAAGTGTTCAGCACGAGGAATAAGACTTAGAAAAAAAACTAAAAACTTGTATTAAAATAAATATAATACATAAACAAAATCTGAAAGAGAACCAGAGGACCTTTCCTTCATGATTTACATTTATAGGGATATACATATACGTATATATAATACACAAGGATATTTTAATCTATACGGAAATACAAACGTGGACTATTATTAAGGTCGACAACTGCCCTTAAATGTAATTACGACTTTACAGTAATATAAAACTACAATATTTTATTTTTATTATTTTATCATAATATCCTCACACATCTTACACACGGCCGTCTAATCCCAAATAAGTTGGGCCTGTACTGTGGTAACCAGACTGTTATAACATACTTATATATTTCTAAATTCATACATATTATAGGTAAATTATACCTAGACACAGAACAAATGATCGTGCTCATCACACAATCATATTTGTCCTGGGCGGGAATCGAACCCACGACCTCTGGCTTAGAAGTGAGGATCACTAACCACTAGACCGACAGGCCCGTTGAAATGATTTAAATGTAAGTAAGTAATATATTTACGTACAAGAAATTCTTGTAAATACGAAGCATTGCTTTATTTGAGAACAGTTCTTTGTCTTATAACAATCAAACAGTAATGAAATCGCAAACATAAACGGTCTATTAGGCTTATTCTTTAAGAGTTTATTTATACTCATACAACTGTCATCGAAACTTGCAATGAGCCTTGACGTACAAAAATGGCGCGAACGAAGCAGACTGCACGAAAATCAACCGGAGGAAATGCTGCACGAAAATAACTTGCTACAAAAGCGGCAAGGAAAGGTGCTCCAGCTACTGGAGGGGTGAAGAAACCTCATCGATACCGTCCAGGAACCTACTGTTCGGCCAGGAAGTAGCTTTACGAGAAATCCGAAGATATCAAAAAAATACAGAATTTTTAATTAATAAACTGCCATTTCAACGGCTCGTGCGAGAAATTGTTCAAGGTTTTTAAAAGCGATTTAAGGTTTTGAAGTTCTTCGGTCGTGCTGCTTCAAGAAGCAAGCGAATCATATTTAGTTGGGCTATACTCATACAATACCACAATATCACGTGCATTAAACTTATATACATAATATATAAATACTTTTAAAAATACATCTTAAAACACCACAATAGCGATATATTAATTGTTACGTATTCTCTACGATTGGCCTCGAATAAGGCCCAGTTTTTTTTATAGCATATGTACATATATAGTTTTTAACAAATTATAGAAGTCCTTAGTCTGAATATTTAACTTATTTAACTCTATGAAGCCATCTCAGGGGCTAGATTGCTTCATAAGGTTCATCGTAATTTATAGCAAGATTAATTATACAATTGTTGAATTAACATGTAGCAATAAAACATATAAGATAATAATTTAAATATAGAATTATGGGATTTAAATTTTATGAGCATCATATATCAAAAAGTATGTAGTATTTCGATAACAAAGTGTTTTTTCAAAAGTTTTTTACGTGGAAACCACTTGTAGAAATGGGGGACTGAATTTATAAGATATTAAAAAAAAATACAAATTTCTATTACTAATTTACTATTATCATAAATAGACATGATAGTCTAAACACCAAAGAGCTCTCTACCTCTATATTAAAAGTATTTTTTTTAATAATCGTAATTCATTTAGTATATCCACTACTATCGGTAACTACTATTTACCGAGTGGATAGTGAACAAGTCTAAAACGAGGGATGATCACAAATCATTTCTCAATTTTACCATTAAAAATTGGAAATATTAGGTTGTACTAGCTCACCTTAAGATTTATTTATTTACAACTTTATACGCTTATGTATGCGGAAATCCCCTCGGGTACCACTTACCGGTGGTTGACTTTAAAGCAAATTGCAATTTATCAGTAACGATTTACTTCGCACTACGATGTTTTTATTCCATGATTCACCTGCCATCAACATGCGAATTGCGAATTATTGCTTATAGTTTATTTATTTAGATGCGTATCTTGACTTTATGACTAACTTTTAATAATGTTTACATGTTATACGCAAAAGCATCCTGATTTTCAGAAAACATTCGAAGTTTAAATCTGCCGTATATGTATTACAATCATCACCATCAGGGACTGGCATACTATGGACCATAGACATGTCTGTTGTACTGACATTATGAATTCGAAGAATAAACTTCTCGAACAAACAAACCGATTTTTTTCTGTTGTGTTATTGTCGGGTAAAAAAAATCGCATCTAGTCTCATAGCATGCAAAGTCGTTGTAATTTAAATACAAAAAACATTAGATGTTTGGCACGTAACAACAATAATATCGTAATACGTTACACCTTATATCAAATTTGACATCTGATAACGCTATCATAAAAAAATATTATTATTGATCTCATTTTTCGAGATATATTCCATCACTAAGATGTTGCCAAATAAACATGTTATGAATAATGATTAGACTTTGCGCTTATGCAAAATACAGTTGCCGAGTTCGATCAATAAATCAACAATAAAATTTAGAACAGTTCAAATCTTTGATAGTAAATGTTCATACCATATTTGAGTACTTAATTTTTTCTTTAACAAAATGTTCGGGAGTGGTTTTGGGTCGAACATGCTAACGGTAATGACCTTACCAATTTTGGGTCCCCAAATTGCAGCCGGAGTGCTTATTGCCAATGCGACCACAGCACCTTTTAAAATGACATGTAACGCTAGTACGAGTTTTAAACGTTATGTAAGTAAATTCTTTACATATTTTACTTAAGCTTGAAAGTGTGCGTTATGTATTATCAATAGGAGCAGTTTTATCTAATTTCTGCTTGTATTTACTCGGTATTTACAGGCGGTTTGACTGATTACAATCATGTTTTTAATTAATTGGGTTTGCCATAGGCGGGTACGTATTTCAATAGTTGTGCTACATATCATTCACAAATGAAAACAATAGTTCCAATCTCAAATGCAGTACCGTGTTGTATGTTCATAACAAAGATTGTTTCAAAAACATAGCATTCTTGTTATGTTCTAAATGTTTAGTACCCATAATATACCAAGTTAAATAAATACTAATTGTTGTTATCTGTGGTCATATAACATTATTACTTGTACATAAAATAGTAAACATTACAGCACCAATATTTGATAAGTTCAACTATAGATTTATTAGACCCCACTTAATCTTTATGGTTAATCATAAATTTATCGAATAACACTTCTACATGCCGTCATAAAAAGATACGGAGTGCAAACTTTTTATTTTATGCGATAGAGGGGCACCAAGTAGGCGGGTCACTTTCAGTGCTATTCTTTAAGGAAACAACCATGCGAATAGCACTGCTGATGGGAGAGCGGCGGTAGTGACTCACTTGCAACTCAAGAGACACAAGTGCGTTGACTCACTTTGTGTAACGCCTCCCCCCCCCTCCCCCCGCCCCTGCCCCGCGAAAAATTGGGGAAAGGGTTTGAACCTATGGTAACCCAATTCGAGTTGAAACGGAGAAAATTTTATAAAATTTGTATATGAAATTTACAAAAACACTTAATAAATTAAATAGTACCTACACTTTCAATTTTTAAGGACTTTTATCTCTTTTAGAACCCTACTTTGTTTTAGTAAATTTGATGTACAAATTTTATAAATTATAATAGATATGCCGTTATGGGATATCTCTTTATTAGTACCATAAACAATAATACTTGATAATTATTAATCATGACCAATAGATACTCGATTGATTACAGATAGTTATAAAGCCCGGATCAACAACCTCCCCTGAACACAGTAGGTACATCTGACCGTTCATTACAGCGAAAGTTACTTGGAAACATTATTAAATCTTCAATAATTGCTTCAAGTCGGAGGCAATGATAATAAAGTCAGTACTAACACCATCTAGAGGTGAAATCAAACGTTTATTTCTCCAAACCCAGTTTATGGTTGCCGCGGAATGCGCAATTAAGACTTCAATCAAAATTGCTTAACAGTTACTTCGTTAACGCTAATCGATAAAGGTTTTCTTTTTCCTTATTTAAAATCTATTGTGTTTTTTTAAATATGTACTACCTTTGAGAAAGTGCTATCTCGGCACAGTAGTATTTTAGCACTGCACTTAGGCAGACTAATACTTAGAATTTTCATTTAATAATGTCATATATGATGGAGACAATCTGTATAACATTCATCATGGTTGGTTGCGTATCCGTTTTTTTTTAAATTAATTTAGGAATCAGAGCAATGTGTAACGTTGCAGAGGGTTTTGACTGGTTTCCTTTGTGGCCGATCCAACCTGCTTATTAAAGGTCATGTCATATAAAGTGGGGTAAGAAAAAATGGTAGGTAAATGATTATTATTTTACATAATATTATTATATATATAATAACGTGGGGGAAAAGAAGCTATGATAAGATATACCGAAAGTTCGGGATAGGAAATAGGACTGAAACTGCCTCGGTAGTGCAGTCGTAGGTAGGTATGCGACTGCTGTGCTGAGGTCTTTGGTTCGATTCCCGGGTTGGACCAAATGTTTGTATGATTTGCAAATATTTGTTTCGGAGTAGGGGTGTTTTCTATGTATAATTTAGAGACAATTACATTGTAACATACTACTCATCCTCCTATTACTCTATCATACTCGGCTCACAAATCATTACAGGTTTATAACAACACAAATTGTGTGTAATAATAATAATATTCTACTACATTCACACAACGCCATCTAGTCCCAAACTAAGCAGAGCTTGTACTATCTGTACTAAACAACTGATATAAATACATATATACTTTTATTTGTAATACGTGCACACATCCATTATATTGATTATCCAAAGTACAACTGTGACAAATTGCTGTTTTTCAATTTTATAAATGTATTTTGAGATACTTCATTCATTTGTTTATTCGAATGCATGAGGGTCAAGGACGTTCATCTTTGGATAATGTCAAGTATATTCATTCGCCACAGATGTATACATATACCTTGAATACGTGGCATGAGATGAGCTAACAAAGGTTTATCTATTTTGTTTTTTCATTGGCCTGGTATTTACTTTTATCTTTTGTGTTTTCATTTGCTTTCGAGTTAGGTAAAACTGGCCGAATGCTTAGATTTATTTATTCAATCTAAAAGTCTACTAATTAAGAAGAAACTTTAAGAAAGAAAATATAGAAATTGTCTAAATATCATCACTGTTCAAAGGCAGATCCAGTTAATATTTTATCAATGTAATGTGTAATTGCAATTTTGCATGGATATATAAATTAATCACCCCGACAAAGTGCTAAAATAAAAATGATAAAAAAAATTAAGGTACGCAGACATGATCTTCTTCCCTAAGTATATCCTGAACTGGAAACGTAAGCACTATTTTTCGATTCCGATCCGTTAGCGTGAAGTTAAATTTTGAAGTGCTGATTTTTGTTAGTCAGATATTTCCTTTCCCTATATCCAACCTAAACTGTTGGCTTGTAAAATAAGGAAAAAACATTTTTAATAATTTGTAGAGTATTAGTCGCCTAACTTACAAAATGTACCCAGAACCTGGAATTCGTCACGCACTTGGAAGTTTTTTCCATTTGTGTCAAGTTTTCCTTCTCTTTGCAGTGCTGTTGTCCTGTGTAGTTTGGTCCCTTAGTCTGCTCTTACGATGAAAAGAGGTGGTGACACTCCGTATTCTTACTCCTTCATCACACGGATGCTACACATCGGTTTTGTATATTATACCTACATCCAAAGTAAGATTTGTAAAACTTAGTATTTATATACCTATGGACTTCTTGTGTACAACAAAATACTTTAAACGGTAGGTAAGTACACTTTGTCCTTTTATTACTCGGTTATCGTATCTGTCAAAGTAATATACTCCTAGCTTATCAGGTAACAAGTAGGTATTAAGATGCTTGCCTATTATGATTAATGACCGGGAGGTATATTCTTGAGTACTCAGTTTTTATTCAATTACTTACCGTACTTTCTAATAGTCTCGTCGTTGTTAATAGACATACTATTTAGAAGCAAGTCAACGCCTAATGTATTACGAGTAGCAACTAATCTACTATGTACTACACTTTTCGACGCTATCTAATATTAAAATGAAGGTTGTCATGAATTCATTAGATTAATAAGAAAATCATACAGAATAAGTAAACACTCAATAATATTCCATGAAATCAATCATGTTTAAATTTTCTTTTTGCTTAATTTTTTGTCATCGCCACCACATCATTACTAGCAACACTGTTCAAGGTGTCATCATTATCAAAATGTCAAAATGTTACTTCAATGTCACACGTCAGCTGTTCGTCTAAATATTTTGTTAATTCCGCTGTGTTTACTTGGAACATTGATAACGCTATGAATAGTTGTTGTTTTAAATATATATTTTTGACCGTGTAAAATGCGATCGACATTGTATAGACGTAGAGGTAGTGACCCGGAAAGAGAGCCGTTGCTAGCTGCTATTCCCGCAAGTGGTTTAAATACTACTTTTCGAAATGTGGTATGATTTTTATGTTTCATAAAGTGTTAGACTATACTGTGCCTTTTTTAATAGCTATTCTGCTTAAGAAAGTCATACGAAATATAATAATATATCAATTCAAAGTTTTCAAATATGTTAAAAAGTAAACTTGCAACGAATAGTATATTCGGCAGTATACCGAATACCGAATATTCGGCGAGGCCCCTGACCAAATAGCCGAGGCAAAAGTATTCGTCTGGATTTTAGCGCCAAAAACTTGTACAGACGTGAATTAAATTATGTACCTGTTTTATGTACCAATGACTACTTAATATGATGATTAAATAAATGAGAACCTTACCCTTCTAAATTTTGATTACCACAATAATTCAAATACATAGAATCCTCCATTTTTCCAATTCAGAAGATGATTATGTACCTGTGTTATGCACTAATGACTACTTAAATGATTATAACAGAAATGAAAATATGTATATATATATGTAATCAATCGATTTTAATTTTTCATTTTACCAATTATTTCTCAATGACAAAATATATTATTTAAGTATTCGGTATTCGGCCGAATAATATGTAGATATTCAAATATAATAGCAAAGCAAGAAAAAGCAGCCGAATACCGCATAGTAACCGAATATTCGTTGCAAGTCTATTAAAAAGTAATAATACATATTACTTTTTAACATATGTGAAAACTTTTGTGTTATCTTTTATATACTTTTACGTGTATCTCCGTCATTTATGAACCGATTGAAATGTTTTTTTTTACAAATTCTAATTTGGAAACAATATATTACCATGCTAAGCCAGAGGTTCTAGGCTCGATTCCCACCCAGGACAAATATTGTGTGATGAGCACGGTCATTTGTTCCATGTCTGTGTGTAATTTATCTATAATATTTATGTATTTAGAAATATTTAAATCAAATGAAATTAAATAAATTTATTTGCATGAATATGGTACAAAGTTTGTAAAAAAATACAATCTGGAATCACAGCATATTCTGCCACAAGTGGCAAACAAATCTTAAGTTAAAAAAAAAGTGTTGATACAGGCAGTTTAATGAACAGGAGAAGATCTATGGTTGGAGACTGTCATTTTAATAATCGTTTACATTTTAATAACATGTCTCAGATAGCAGTTTTTTTTTTCTTATTAAAATCGTTTATATTTAATTTTCTATATACATCCGGCAGTTTATTGTATATTTTTGGGGCAAAACAAAAAAACACTTCCACATAAATTATTTTTTCGGCTATTGTGAACAACAAGTCAAAGGTAGGAAACAAATGAGGATGCATCTTAACAAATAATGCGACTTCGAAAATATTTAGAATGTTAGAATTTGGTGTGTCAGAAAATAGGGCCTACAGCTATCTGTTGCCTGAAGCCCAAACATAGCCGTAATGCATCTTTTTTAACGTTTAAATATGACGTCTTTAGCCACCCCAAAAAAACAGGCCGTATCTCAGCACAGATACTACAATACCATGGTAAGCTGTATTTAGTCCTTCAGTGTTAACTACATGATTAAGTATGTTTAACACCAGTCTGGTTACCATAACACATAGCACAAGCTCTGCTTAGATTGAGATGAATTTGGGAAGTTATTATTAATACATGGGCACTATTAAAATACATTTACTCAAATTTCTTGTTCAGAATGACTTGCACACATAGTAACTGATGGTGTAATTTTTCAATACTAATATTATAAAACTTAAAAGTTGGTTTTTTGGTTAAATTTGAGTGCTAATCTGAGGTCCAAATTGAAAAAATCTTTCGGGAGCCCATTTATCAAAAGTTATATAACATCACACTATAACCAATAGGACCCAAGCAGCAATGAAAAATGTTTCAAAAATGTGTGGGTTAGCTAGTTAAAAATAATTAGAATGTTTTGCCTTTGTCATGAATTTCAAGGTTCTGGTAAATTTCAATGAGTCCGCATTACATTTTGCAACATGCACGCACACATTGCTATGCAGAACTATATTCATATTTTCAAAGTTAATAATTTTGTGAATACAATCTAATATTTGACTTTGAACACTTAAAAATTATTGATATATAAACTTGCGTATGTTATTATTTTTCATTTATGCCAAAAAAAAATGTTTCGGATGAAATCGAAAACATCAAAGTTCTTTATCAACTTGACATCAGAAATAATGTGGTGGATATCAACAGTAAGATAGAGGAATGATGTAAAATGTTGTTATCTGAGGTGCAGGAGTTGATATGGATAACATTAGTGATTGATTTTGTTTACTTTAATAATTTAGTAACAATAAGAGTAATAAAGGCCAGCAGTTGCAGGCATTCATGGGGCAAGGGCTTCTCGGGGACTTCTTGTCTAGGGTATACCTTGAGTCCCTTGCAATAGACTTACATGTGATGGAACACCGAGTGGTTTTAGTCGGTTCGATACCGACATACCACTTCACCATGAGTCCCGGTGGGTGATGATAATAGCTCATGGGGGTTACCAGATGGAAAAATCCGGTAGTTATTTACATCTGTGCCTGCTGTCTGCCTATTTGCCACCTGTATCATAAAAAAAAAACTACATGATATTCACCTTTTTTTTTTTTTCCGTGCGGCAATCCCCTCGGATACCACCTGTCGGTGGCATGTCGGACTCGAACCTACTAAAACCGCACGCCGTCTCGAGTACTAATAGCCGGGTAACCAGGTATACCCTAGAAAGGAAGTCCCTGGTACCCCGACATACCTCGGGTCATCTACAGACGAGTAGACGACCCCCCTACATGATATTCACCTATAAGTATATTTAATATGATAGTATTATTTGAACAAAAGCTTGTTACATAACATAATAATAACAACATAATAATACATGAAATTAAATAAACAGTTTTTAGTATTACAAAAAAATCTATTTGGTAAAGCTCTGATGCTCGATCCAAAAAACCTCCTGCCTATATAATAAATATGATTGCCAGTTAATAAAAATATTTTTTTTTTCCTATTCTAGCGTCAAGAAGGCAACGGTACGATGGCCGAGGTTGGAGTTTCGCAGGTTGAGCTGGTGGAGACTCGCGAAGACAATGCCCGCAAACTCCCTCAGTACATCGCAGCCTTATCAGGTACAATTATCTTTATTGAATTGTTAAGACATTCACAGGAAAATAAAGATTTTCTTTTCATTACGTAACAAACACATGAGAGGATGAGGCATCAATATTCATATTGAAAACTATACCACAGATAAATGGGAAAAAGTATGTCAGTTATTCTGAAAGAGGATCGTAGATCCATTGTTCCTTCAATACACCGTTGCATGTATTTATGCAATGTTCGCAAATTACTCACTTAAATCACGTTATCCTCTTTTCAGCTACACTTGGAGCGCTAGCAGCGGGTACTATGCTCGGTTGGTCAGCTCCAGTAATGGTAAAAATCCTGGACAAAAACAGCACAGACTACGACTTTGAAGTAACTCAAGCACAAGGTGACTGGATCTCCTCTATCATTAACCTCGGAGCAGCGTTCATTTGCTTCCCCATTGGCCTCATCATGGACAGAATAGGACGTAAACTGACTATGTTACTTCTCGTTCTACCGTTCACCTTAGGCTGGTTACTTGTTACTTTTGGAACCAGCGTAGGTATGCTTATAGCTGGTAGGTTCATCATCGGTGTAGCTGGTGGTTCATTTTGCGTCACAGCGCCCGCATATACCAGTGAAATTGCTCAAGACTCCATCAGAGGAACGTTAGGCAGCTACTTTCAGTTAATGATAACTGTTGGAATTCTGTTTTCATACGTTGTTGGCAGTTATACGTCCGTATTCATCTTCAACATACTCTGCACTCTAATACCTATCATATTCGGAGTTGTCTTTTTCTTCATGCCCGAAAGTCCCAACTATTTAGTGGTCAATGGCAGAAGTGATGAGGCCAGGGAAGCCTTATACAGGCTTCGTGGTAGGGCTTACGATGTAGACCAAGAATTAAACGCCTTAAAATACAAAGCTGAAGTAGCAAAAGCGAACCCTGTATCTTACATCGCTGCGCTCACCAAAAAGACAGCCATAAAAGCTCTTATCATCTGCTACTGTTTAATGGTGTTCCAACAGTTGTCTGGTATCAACGCTGTTATCTTCAATGCATCACAAATCTTCGATGATGCAGGTGCCACTATTCCTGCCGAAATCTCCACTATCATTATCGGAGTAATCCAGGTCGTTGCCACTTTTTCCTCGAGTTTAGTAGTAGATAGACTTGGAAGGCGTATTCTACTTTTGTTGTCCGCATTGGTCGTTTGTATTTGCACCACCGCTTTAGGAGTGTACTTCTTCTTGCAACAAACTCATGGTCCCGATGCTAGCATAGTCCAAGCAATTTCTTGGTTGCCCCTTGTGTCTTTGTCCGTCTTGATCATTGCTTTCTCAGTCGGCTTGGGACCTATTCCTTGGATGATGGCTGGAGATCTTTGCAAAATCGATATCAAGGCCTTCGTAAGCTCCACGGCTGGTACCTTGAATTGGCTGCTTGCTTTCACAGTTACCAGTACATTTAACTCATTAAATAATGCCATTGGTGCCGGTCAAGTGTTCTGGATATTCTCTGGTATCATGCTTGTTGGTTTTATTTTCATTTTCTTTGTAATTCCCGAGACGAAAGGAAAGAGTGTTGATGAAATTCAAATTTTGCTGGGAGGCGAGCCAGAGACCCAAACTCCTGTCGAAGTTAAGAAATAAACCTGATCAGACTGATTAATAGCGATATTTTAGGATTTTTTTTACTGAGACTAACACTTAAAGATATCTTTGGTGTCGTAGTTCGGGATAAGCAATATTATCAATTTGATAGAACCAAAGATTTATGATGTATAAAATATCCATCACAGGTTTTATGCTGCGCTATAACTATTTAGTCTAATATATTATTTATTTAAAATAATTTTCTAATAGGTAGCTTCAATTTCTTTATAAGTGTATATAGTTTTTAAATAGTTTTTATTCATAAAGAAATTTGCAAATATACAAGTGTTACAGAAAGCTGTGGTCTTACCTTAGGGTCATATAATAGACTCTATGAATAATATTTTCGAAAATTTGTATTTTTTGATACAGATGTCTTAAATAGAAATTGAACTATATTCGTAAGAGAGGGCTGACATAAATGGTGACGTTAACAACCGTGGTATGAAGTACCCGGTATATCCGGATTTTTCGTTTTTTTTTAACATAAAAAATAAAAAGACGAACTAGCCAAATTGACATAAAAATACATAATAGGCAGGTACGTTACTTTTTAACATGCACTAATAATTTTTTTTAGGTACCTATACCTATCTTCAACTACTTGTCTCCCACAAAACGTTCCTAACATTTGATCACAGCTTTCCTTAGCAAGCTATATACTTATTATGTTAATAATTTGGTAAAGCAATGATCCAGAAGGCCAATTCTCGTAATAAAAGTTACGTCGCAATTCAGTTGCGATCAACTTTCGATCTCCCAACTGTCATAAAAGGTATTTCCGTCACAAGCACGAGCTCATGCAAAAATAGTTCCCTACTAGTCGATATTATTAAAATTATTATGATAGGACCCACAGCCAAGCTAGGTAAGAAGCTAAAAAATAATAAGTTTTTACAATTTGTATCATTTTCGATTTGTTTACTTTTGATAATAGTAATACCTAGGTAAAGTTACAAGAAAACTAAATTTTGAGGGATTGCAATTTAACGACAGAATATCGGAAATGTCAGCACTTTATAGAATGTTATTAGAACATCGATTCACATACCAGTGCCATTTTCAGAAAGTATTCGTCAAATATTGCAGTATAGTATGGTATCACTAACGTACTTCGAAAGTAGTATAAACATTATTTACGAGAGCAGAGCTTAGGTATATAACAAAATGTTTAAAGATGAACGATAAGTAGGTAATATAGTAGGTACGTGGTTAATAATTAATACTATTTAGTATAGTATATTACTGGTTATTCAAAAAAGATAAACTTATATTAATAAACAAGAACGACCTTATGCATAAGTTAATTATAGAAAGAATATCACGAAAATTGACCAAACGTGAAAAAGGTTTCTTGATGTTTTCCCGCGCATCCTTATGACACACGGACGCGAATAAGTCTGCATTTTGATAAATCATAACTTTTTAAACTCTATGACTACTTATAATAAAAAAGTGTTGTGTCATTAACGCTTTTCAATCAAATAAGCAAGATTTGCGTTGCGTTTTATAGAGAAAATATACAAATATTACAGAATATAGAAAATTTTAGTAAGCACTATGTAGTCTCATGCATACCTTTACATATCCTAAATACTTTATAAAATGCTGTAGCGTCTTGCCATAGACAATTTTCTTGACCAAGACTTTTGACTGACATTTTCAAAAAGAAAGTCAGCAGAAGCTTCGTGATGTGAGCCAAAGAAACACTATAACGGCTTTAAATAAAGTAGTCATTTGTCCTTTGAAAAAGTCATGAAAAAGCTCATAAGACACTTGTCAAGTATAAACTCGACAAATGTTTTTATTATTAGACCTCCGGACGAAACATTTTAGCTCGCGAAGGATGTCTTGAATAATTGGTTTGCATTAATTGATGTAGGTACCTACCTATATTATCCATGTGGTTCGATAAAATACTATTAATCGTCTCATATCTAAATACCACTAAATTGATATTATTGTAGTTTTTATATGTATTGTATTCACTAAAATGTAACATAAGTACCTATGTATGTGTAGTTATTGAATTGTGGAAGTGTTGCCAGATTTTTGAAAATAAAAATATTGATAAAGGTGGTATTTAATAACATGATGAATATTTTTGATTATGTTGTGTCAGGTTTGCTCAAAAATATATATTGTTATATTTTCTATTAAAAAAAATCTAACAAACATAGAGCAGTAATAATAAAATATATTGGTATGTCGCAGTCTCTGTCTACTTAAGAATTTGAATGTATCGTTTCTAAATGAATACAGTGTATAGTTACAAATTTTTGTTAACAAGTCTTCACATGCCTTTGTATTGCCTATGTTATTACGTAGGTTCATGAAGTATTAATAAAAAAGATGAAATGTTTTGCTATCGCAACATTGAAATGTTTTATTATTTTGTAAGTTTTACCCTCTTTTGTCATTTAAGACACATTTTAGACATTGATCTCGTTTCCTGCGATGAGCCGTGATGCGTAACAACATGGAAAAATAGAGTGTACAGCTGTAAGAAGCATTATCTTGTATAGAAGTGTCCATCAAAAAACATCAAATAATAGTTCTAAAACCGACCAGAATGGGGCTAGCAAGTTTGCTAAGTACCATAATATTTTAAATTAATTATTAATATATTCAATATCAACGTCTGCCTATGTTATATTTATTTTGAAAAGTGCACCGTAACAAAGTGTTTTTTTTCTTGTTTAATTTACTATCCTACTCTAACAGCTTGCCACCGTGGCGCCACCATAATTTGACGTTTTTTCATACATAGATGGTTACCCCTCCATAAGGAAAAAGGCGAATAGGGAATATGTTTATTATAAGAACGGGAATACGTTAAAGATTTTGTGCATAGCTAAATAAATAATGAAATTGTAAGTTTACATGCCCATGTCAATACCATGTAAGTCAATAATTGTGAAGGCTTGTGACGCTATAAGTTAGCAACTCTATATAAAATCTATATAAAAAAATAAAACAATTTTGAACCTAGCCCTGTTTTTTTTTTAGATTTTATATATTTTATTTCAGTGACCATCAGCTGTCTCACATATTATAGGAATAATGTGATTGTATATAATATTACTAGAATAAGTTTTGACAGCGAAAATAAATTGTGTTTTTTTTTCTAATTGGTGTTTTAAATTCCCTTCACAAACTTTAAAAACTTTACATGATAGGACAAAGTATGAATTGTTTCTAGTTCTACTGCTTTCATGACTTTATTGTTTGGGCCCGTAAAAAGTAGTAGTTTTTCAAAGTTCATTCAAACCAAAAGATCAGTAAGCTCGTAGTAAGCTCTTTCAATTGGAAGAGCAATCGAGCAGAATCGGGGGTCAAAAGTGTTCGTACATTCTCTTGGAAGAAGCCACCTGACAAAGTTGACCACAGCAAGTGGAGAAGTCGTTGCTCCAAAGCCGGCAGTCCTTTTGGAAGTGGAAAGCGTCTATGGTCGGTTATACGCTTCGCAAGCATCTCGACCTGATCCCGAAAATGGGGACTCCAGTGCTCCCGAAATGGAACACACGTGATTATTAGCTTTCCAGCAGGTCAATAAGATCTTCAGTCTAGTTGAGCATCAGAGCTGCTGGCTCTGTCAGATATGGGAGTTACACTACGATAAGGTCTCAAAGACTGCAGAAAATAACCCAGTATCATTTTTGTACCCCCTTAAACCCGTTATGCTCCTGTATCTGTCGTTGCCAACGGCTCTAGTGATTATATAGTGGCCTGAATATAAGTTATCTAGCTTTGTGTTAACTTTAGAAGCACTACTAGTAGGTGCCTGCCTCCATAAAACTAGGTCTCTCTTTTTGTAATGACGACGTTTTTTTTTTTCAAAATTATGTTTCATCTTAGCACTAGCTTTATTAATACGGACACTAGCCTTACTACGCTTGGACTTAAGGCACAAACGGCTTAAAGCCAGTGGTATCATTTAAAGTATTATTTTTACCTTATATTACATCGGGTAAACAGTTAGAACAGTTGTCAGCTGCTTAACAAGGGCCAGTGGTACGTAGGGCATTTAAAATAGTGCGATTAGCGCGTTCAATTTGTCCGTTAGAGCGAGGAAACGCGATAGCATTCAAAGTAGGCGACGTCAAAGATTTATGAGAGGAATCCAGAGTTTACATGAAGTTATAAGAGCGCCGTAATAAACCCGCGTGAGTAACGAAACCATATAACGACTCAAAAAATGGTAGCGCGCCATCTATCGAGGTAACCGGTAGTTGTCATAACCACTCCATTCGCTTTAAATATGAACGAATTATAGCCTACTCAACAATAATTTTCGTTTAATTATCACAGGACTACAAAATCTTCTTTGATAATATTTTAATAAGAATATTATTTATTATATTATTTTATTAAAGAGAATATTTCACTAGTTCTTAAAGGTATTTTTCTTTATTCTTAGACTTAGGATGTAAAAATCTCCATTCCATTCTAATTAAAAAAAAAGTTATATTCTGAAATAAAAAAGGTTCGAAAAAAGTAAGTAACCAACGACACACATATGACAGGTATAGGACATAATATTTACGTAACGTCACAATTATGACGTTATATTCAAGTCAAATTTTAGTTCAGTTCATAATGACGTAATTCTATATGAAATCATATCAAAGTCATCTATAAAATAATTTTTATATAAAAATTCTATGATCTATGACCTATCTACGACGTCATATGGAGGTCATGTGTTCCACTAGGAACTTTATATTAAAAAACGTTATAAGCATGAACAGCGACTTTTATTTTGCTCGGTAAAATCATGTTTTATCTTTATCTGTTTTTAACCGACTTCAAAAAAAGGAGGAGGTTCTCAATTCGACTGTATTTTTTTTTTAGAAACAATCTAATCTAAATCCAAAATCAACCGAAAAAGTATTTTGACACACCACTATCCATTTTATCTCTTAATATGACTATAATGATTTTCACTTAATGTGGGTCACATTTACAGGTCTTTGCTGCAACGCGAATGGAGCGGCCGCCAGGACGACGCCTGGGCGAGCTAGAACTGCCTTTACCTTTCAAGGGCTGTCGCTTGCAGTAGGGGATACAGTAGTCCATGATACTAAATGTGGATTTACTCGAGCGTCATGGGATCCTATAGCATTTGAAAGATTAGGTAATAGAATGAATAAAAGTTATGTAAAAATGTAAGGGGGAGGAAATAAAAACAAAATTCGGGCGCATCAGATATTTTGGGAATATGTTATTTGGACGCCGAAAATGCTCCCATTGAAAGGTCTGACGATTTTAAAGTGATACAAGCTTGTGGCGAATTATCAAAAAGACTAGCTGCAAATTCGAAAAATCGCCATTTCGAAATATGTACCCAAACGTGTTAGATTTCATACAGACGGTTCAGCTTGACATTCCTCTCATACTAGCCAAATATTTGACGTTAATTTTGCAGGGTGTTTTAAATCTGACGGCTAGTTTTTTTTTTATAAAATGTGACACAAAGGCAAGAAAAATTATGTAGACATTTAAAGATTTCTTGCATTGTTTGCTTCAAAATAAAGAAAGGTCATGGATTTTTTTTAACTTTATGACCCTCCCACTGCTTTATGTCACGCTCAAATCGTCTGATTTTTTTTAAATACACACTAATGTTTATGTAATTGATTTAACTTATCTTCTCATAGGTACACGCTCGAGTATTTCTGACCCTCGACTTTTTTTAACTAATCTGATCGGCTGCCCTAGACACTCCACCCTATGTGTAGGCCTCAAGTATGGTGGAGGTACTCATCTGGGTGTAAGGTATTCCTCCTATCTTCATCTGTAGTAAATCCCGAAATCTCTTCTAGGACTCCCCTTCTATTATAATTGGCTTTCCATAAGCGAAGACGTAGCTGCCACGAGGTCGTGGAGTTGTCGTTACCTAGTAACATGCAGGCCTTGCCTCCAATCTCATACTTCTTACCTCATGGGTACTTTCGACCTGTGTTGGGTATATTCTGCTAAACTGATTAGCAAGGCGAAATAAAGAGAAAAGAAAGTAATATTTGTATATGGATTCGCAAACTAAGTAAATCGCAGCGTGCAATATGATATTTCGTTATAAGTTACACGAGATTGAGTGACCTCGTTATTAATACTTGTTTGTACATAAGCCAATGCACTTCGCCCGCGTGTACCTTTGTGCTGATTGTGATGAAATGATTGTTACGACATAAATAAAAAATAATATGTAATCTCATTAAATTTTATACACTTACTACTAAAATATACAAAAAGTTAACATTAAATATGGTACAATTTTGCGACTAAAAGATTTTTTACATTACTGATATATACATACTTCAATTTTCATAAAAAATTGGACAAGCCGTCATTTTCATAATAATCATGTTTATAAAAATTTTTGATCATGAGATCAAGGTAAAGACGGGACTTTCCTAAATTTATTTAAATAGCTTCATAACATTTATTTTGTTTGGTTATCTTTGGTGAGTTAGGTAACAAAAATATATAGCAATAACAAGGGTTAATTAATATCATTACAATTGAATTAGTTTTACATATGCACCTTGTATTTCCCCGTTAGTACAAAAATAACAAAGTGATAAAGTTTCCTTCAATATTAAATACAGCTTCAGTCTAGCTGCCTATCAACACCTAATTGTAGATAAAATATATCTAACACCTAATGATAATGATTAGCTCATCATTTACTGAAAACATGCAAATTAAGGCAATTCTCTACATGCTCAAGTTTGAACTACCACCTCCTATCTTGGAATACGCACTTCTGTACGCATTGCAACAGAAGAGTGAATTCATAAGGGCATTAAGAGAGGTAGAACTCTCAGTTCTGTACAAACCTGACGACACTTCTTCAACATTAGTTTCCCCAATGAATTGATGAAGATCACTCTTAGGGAAACCATCTTTATAATATTGCTTAATTGTATCATATGCATCCATAATAACAGATATAAATAAACTAAGTACAACATAAATATATAAACTTATAAATGAATATAAGTAAATACGACTAAACCACCACAACATTGGTGATTTCTTTGACATTATGGAGAAGGTGGCAAACATATCATCTCCGTTTATCAAAGAGAATAGACATTCAGAAGTTGTTGCTAGAGTTTGGAACTTCATATGATAAGGTCCCAAGATTAACCAACCGCAGAACATGAAACCAGCATACAATAGCAAAGCACAGATTGAGAATCTGAATATCTTTGGAGCTGCTTTCTTTAGTGTTAGAATCACTACATTATAGGTTTTAAAGAACCCTAAATATCTTAAAACTCCAAACCAAACTAGTAAATTTCCAGTTCCCAAAAAAAGAGAACAAACATTCCACTGATCATTTGTAAATTGATTTCGTTCAATTTGCTCCTTTATCGCTGATCCCAAAATGATAAGTAAGTCGTTAACTATTATCATAATGTACCAGATGTTAAGAAACTCTAAACGCCCTTCTAAACTCAGTTCTTTGTTGTATGTACGTCTGAAAAATTGTACAGTAAGTTCCTTTAACAGCTGAGCTCTGTAAATAGCTCTACTACACAAACCGAAAGATGCTACACATATTAATATCACGAGTATGTTCAAAATGCTTCGTAACACTTGATCTATCTTGTTATCTGTAACATATGCTGAGTCTCCTTTACATGATAACTTGTACGGTTCGGCATCTAATATAAGCGACATTTGACCATCATGATCTTCATTATCAAAAATAATTTTAATGTCAAATCTATAACAATCTGGTGGAGTTATAGGACCAGCTGCCCTAAAATTGATTGTTTTTAATGAGAACATTAGTTTAGCCTGTATCAATGATGCAAAACTTATATTTAATCCAGCCTCCTTTATAAAAGACTCGGAATTAAACTTTCCAACGGTTGGTGTAGTAAAGTTGACACATGTTTCAATAACCTCCGAGTTAAACACATAGCTCTCATTAAAACCATTTATGATGCCTTGTTTATAATTGTATTGGCAAAAAACTGGAGCCGGTTTAATATTGTGCTCATCATTGTACGAATATGGCCCAATAGAGGTAGTTAAGATATTGGAATATCCCTCGTAAGCATAGTCTAGTGTGTCATAAAATTCCTTGATTTTGTAAACAGCTAGAGGTCCTGCACCTGGAGGGTAGGCATTGATCTCCCTTGTAGAGTCCCAGCCGAGAAGAAACAAATGTGAGAAGGTGATTCGATTGTCCCATGTGTAGTTGACGTGATTATATCTATTGTGCGCGAAAAGGCACAGTTGAAATGTAACCAACACTATCTTTATAACTTGTACAACAAATTTATAAGGAAATTTACGCTTGGCCGTCCATTTGTCAACTGGGTTCATGAAAAAAAACTTCAGCTTACGTCGCATTTTTTCTTCCATTTGATTGAGCTCCGACACCGAACTGGAAGGTTGAGCTGTAAAACCTTGGTGGTTTCCATGGTTCATTACAGTTTTTCTAGCGACTTCCTCTTCCCCTTCTGAACACGTCGTCTCTTCTGCAGACGTAATATGCTCCATTAATATATCTTCTGCAGTAATTTTAGCCGTTCTGCAAAGATCAGGTGATGCACACACATTTACATTAGATTTAACTCTGTTTACCTTCAATGTTCTTATAGTTACACAATTTTATACAACAAAAATATAGCAGTCGTACATAGTGCAAGGTGCAATTCCTGTCTATAAGTTTAAAGATGTTTAAGAGTATTTTGAAGAGAGAAAATACTATTTTCTTTGTTCTCTAAATCTCTATTTATTTCGAATATTCTCTTTAGTTCGAGTAGGTAGATATTTGACTTTTGATATGACAAAAAACTTCAACTTTGAAATCGATTTACAAACTATCGACTAAGCCTGTTGATTTTTTAATCAATTTAAAATCGTTTTTTTAACAAACCTTTCTTTTTACATAAATCTCGAGGTGTATAATAATTTAAAGTAATCAATATTGCATGGAGGTATAAAATCTCTGACCTTTACAGTTCACAGAATATAAATAGGATTGCTTTTTAAATGCAAAGTAAGAAATGGTCATTTTGTTTGCAGTTAATCCTCCATTCATGACAAAATACACAATTTGAAAACTGAAACTTTTACATTGTTATCATACATTTTGTGTGAGAATTATATTAAACTCGAGAATTTTTTATCTGACGTTAATAGTTAATTTTATAAAACATTAAGAAAGTCATCGGTAAAAATACAATAAAAGAATAAGCCGTCTTGAGACGTCTCGCAGATGTGAAACGTCGACATTTTGTTTTAGAAACAATGAGTCTAAACGGATAGCTTTTGAAAAGGAAATACTAAAATAATAAATCTTTCACGCCGAATTACATGTATGTAAATGTGTGTATGTACACATATTATATAACATGTGAAAGTGACACTATAATATGATAGTATACGACGACGATTGGCGATGTATGACATGGGAATCAATGGTATTTCATCTGTAAAAAGAGGTGATAAAATAAAGAGAGTGTATAAAATCATTGCTGGGGTTGCATCGCCACACCAATAGCCGGTCTAAGCCTCTGCATTAGATGTTCACATCAATTGTCTCACAAGAAAGTATCGATTGATCGTTACGTTAAATTATCATACTAAACTATTCGGCTAGTTACATCATTCAGGGGGCGGCCCTTTGCTGTCAGTTCAGAAACACAGTCCGCACAGCGATATTTTACCGCGTGTTTTTTTTCGTAAAATTCTGTGACACATGAGATCTAATTAGGACTATTGGACTGGTGGCACATTTGAGGTTTTGTATACTGGCATTTATTTGAACTTAGCACTACTACTACACACTTTACTAGTCTATTTTCAGTATACAGCTGGACACTTTTTCAACTTTCCCCCTATATGAGATGGGTCTCCTTGCCTCTTCACTCCATAAATAGAAGAAAAAAATAATAGTCAAATCGGAAATAAAATTATTTGTGAACTAACGTTTCTTTTGGTATCTTTTTAGTTTACAGCCATTACGCAGCGTTTTTAGTACCTAGATATATACCTTTGATTATGTTTTCTTAATAATAAATTCTGAAATGAAAATTTTTAAGCCGCTGTGAATTATGTTACTATATTAAATGCATTATCAATTTTTATACCTAATTTACATTGTACTTTTAGTCCAGGCACATTGACTCATTTACAGAGATAAAAAAAGAAAAATGTTATCCAGATACATACGTTTTCAAATGATTAAAAGGGTTAAAGTCAACATAAGGAAAATGTGTTATGTGCCCAAGAAAGTTAGGGGATGATTTTAGGGGTTGAAAAGGGGTGAAAATGGATACATCTCGTGTTTTTTGCAATTTCACGCGAAATTTGATGTCCCACTGAAAAATGTTAAATACAAAAGTTGTAGATCTTGGAAAAATCTACAACTTTTGTATGGGTCATTTTTTAATATAACCTCAAAATTTCAGAAAAAAATGCAATAAATAAAAAAAAAAATTGTTTTTTGTTTTTTACTTGTCAATTTCTCAAAAATAAATATTTTTAAACCAAACTTGCTGAAAGTACTCCTTTTTGTGTCCCAAACAACAAAAACAAAATTTTAGATTGAAATATTAAAACCTGTTTGAAAGATTCATTTATTTCGGTCCGAGACACGTTGTTTTCAAAGTTACATTTTACTACTTAAAATCATCGTAGAGAGGTCATACAGGGCTCATTTTTTTCGTTTTGACGTCTACTTTTTAATGAAATAATAAAACAATACAGCTTCCATTTAAAAACATGTCTAAAAATTGAAAAATATAAAAAAATCATTTTGCAAAAACAATTTTTTTGGTTATTGTTAATAATTTGTTATAAATAAAAAAAATATTCAAAAACTAATAAGACCATTGAATTGTACGGGAAAAATCACGAAGGAACATATGTTTTCCTATTTAAATTCATTTTTTATTTTTGTACAATACTGCTATAAACATTGTAATAGCATATTCCGTGTAGTTGAAAGATGTCAGGTAAGTACATACAATGCGATCGACTTTTACTTTAATAAGAAAAGTTCCTCATTTCTCGCGATGAAATTAATTAATTCAATTGTTGCTCTTCTGCATTGTTTTACTGGATGTGATACAACATCCGCTTTTGCTGGCAAAGGAAAAACAACAAGTTTTAATTCGTTGATTAATGCTCCTGAGTTAAAAGAATTAGCACTGCCCTTTTATCAAAGTAATGCAGATCCCAAAGTCATTGCTCGAAATGGTTGTAAACTGATTGCATCGATTTATCAATCAAAAAAATCTAAAATACCACTGGATGATTTAAGATTTACACAGTTTAAATTATTAACTGCAAAGTCGACTTTTAAATTCGAAAAATTACCCCCTTCTGTTGGAGCAGCAATTCAACTTTCGTACAGAGTATACTTCCAACTACAAATGTGGCTTGGACATACATTACAAGCAACGAAATGGGGCTGGAAACAAGTGATTGTCAATAATACAAAACTACTTATGCCACATTATACAGATGACTCACTTATTCCAGATGAGTTACTTAAGATAATTTGTTGCAGTTGTGAGACTGGATGTGAGGGCAATAGATGCGGTTGCAGAAAGCATGAGTTGCGATGCACAGAGTTATGCACAAAATGCCATGGTTCTGAAAGTTGTTCAAACGTTGAAAAAGTTTCAAAAGATTTAAGTGATTTTGATGAAATTTCTGATAATCCGGATGAAATTGAACAACCATTTAACATCTTCAACTCAGAAAATCTTGCTATGGAAAAGTTTCCAGAGGAATTTGATGAAGAAACGATTGAAGATAATGAGGAAGTCACATATTTCGACGAACAATTAATCGATGATGATCAGCCAAACTTACAATTAGCGAAAAGACAAAAATTGGTCTAGTGTGCATAATGTATTCATTATTAAATATATAATAAATCGCATAATAAATGTATAATATTTATGTATATAAAGTGTAAATGTATGATATTTATCAGTACTTGAGCATATTTCATTAAAAAATCAACTTGATTCTAATTGAGTTTTTCATTATTGTCATTTACCTCCATAATTTTTTTATTATTATTATTAGTAGTAGTATTGTTAACAATCTATTTTGTTGATATAAATTTCAATTATAAATTCGGTGCAAGTTAAATTAGATTCAGAATTCATTTTAAAAAAATCATTCAATTATTTAAAAGCATGTTTTAAATAATTGTATACAAAAGTTAATTATAAGACGATTTATTTATCAAAATATGTAGAAAATAATTGAATAAATTAATTTCATCGCGAGAAATGAGGAACTCTTCTTATTAAAGTAAAAGCGATCGCATTGTATGTACTTACCTGACATCTTTCAACTACACGGAATATGCTATTACAATGTTTATAGCAGTATTGTACAAAAATAAAAAATGTATTTAAATAGGAAAACATATGTATCTTCGTGTTTTTTCCAGTACAATTCAATGGTCTTAATAGTTTTGAATTTTTTTTTATTTAAAACAAATTATTAACAATAATCAAAAAATTTGTTTTTGCAAAATTAATTTTTTTATATTTTTCAATTTTTAGACATGTTTTTAAATGGAAGCTGTATTGTTTTATTATTTCATTAAAAAGTAGACGTCAAAACGAAAAAAATGAGCCCTGTATGACCTCTCTACGATGATTGTAAGTAGTAAAATGTAACTTTGAAAACAACGTGTCTCGGAACGAAATAAATGAATCTTTCAAACAGGTTTTAATATTTCAATCTAAAATTTTGTTTTTGTTGTTTGGGACACAAAAAGGAGTACTTTCAGCAAGTTTGGTTTAAAAATATTTATTTTTGAGAAATTGACAAGTAAAAAACAAAAAACAATTTTTTTTTTGATTTATTGCATTTTTTTCTGAAATTTTGAGGTTATATTAAAAAATGACCCATACAAAAGTTGTAGATTTTTCCAAGATCTACAACTTTTGTATTTAACATTTTTCAGTGGGACATCAAATTTCGCGTGAAATTGCAAAAAACACGAGATGTATCCATTTTCACCCCTTTTCAACCCCTAAAATCATCCCCTAACTTTCTTGGGCACATAACACATTTTCCTTATGTTGACTTTAACCCTTTTAACCAATTAAAAACGTAGGTTTCTGGATAACATTTTTTTGTTCTCCATATTCAACGTGCCTGGACTATTTGTACAATCTATGAGCTCAAAAGTGTTACGTAAAATTAAAAAAAAAAAACGTAAAAAGAAATCAATAAAGCTGTAATTTTGCATATGCAACGGCCATTAACACAAGATTTAAATAACAATAATAATAATAATTACCTACAATAATTAAATAAAAAACAGTCTGAGATGCTCTTAGGTTATTGATACACTAGAAATCCATTAGTCGCCAGAGGTGGCTTGCAACTGCGTGGGGCAACTTTCTTTTTTATCTATTTTATTATGACAAGGATGCAGGAAACTTAATAGATGTAGTTCTTAACCGCCTGTAAATCTTCTCCTTCTTTTTATCCTCTTGATGACCCGAATGCGTTAAACAGAATTTACCAGCAATAAAAGTTCTAATACTATATCCATTATAACTAGTATTCTTCTTCACGAAACCAAACAAGAAGTATGTTCAGGGCTTTTCCTAGCCGTAAGTCACTGCAAGTTGGCACGACCGAAGTGGCGTGACATCCTTGGCACACTACACGTAACAAGAGCTCTTAAGTGCAATATATTTTTAAACTAAATTCTGTTATCTATCAAGTTCTGATGCCATCGGCGTCTGACAATTATAAAGTCGTTATGACTGGTATTTAAATTGCTTTAGTAATTAATATAGTTAACTAATCAATTAAGAAAATGACCCAAAACACCTGGCATTTTGTCTTTAAAAATTTGTCTCTCTTGTTCCATTTCTGTTTTACATAAAGTTGTTGACTATATAACTTATAAAAATTAAAAACAATCTATACGGATTTTGCTTACATTGCTTATGCGGTACAGTCTTAACGCAGAATTTCTTATTTTGTCGTTCTCTAATTTGTTGTCTATTGTCCCATTTTGGTCCCATTCTCCAAATTTATTCCGGCAGCTGTCAAATTTTCTGTATTAGTCTATGGTCAATGTCGTAGAACCACATCACGTATAATCACGAAATTAGAGAGAAGTTCGAAATTTTTAATTTTATGCAGTCAAATATAGCACGGATAGTGATATTCAAGTTTAGTTTTGCGAATAAACAACTATGGCTTTAACGGTTGACAAATTGATGAACGACGACAGGTATATTTTTGCATTTTAATTCAACGCAGCTACGTGTTTGCCAATATTTTTCCAAGGGAAAGTGTATTACAATTATTGATAACAATTAATTTTGTTCCTAATGCATTGTTATCGTAATATCTTTATGTATATCAATAAAATCGTGACGTAACTGACTAATGAAATGGGTTAAATAATATCGCGAAATTTATTATCAATATCAATCAGGAGCAGGATGAAACAAAAAATAAACTTTTGCATTATGTTCACAGTCAGTTATTTGAACTTCTTGTATTAGATGTTGGAACATTATTCAGGGAGGACATATGATGTCTGACCTTGACCTTAAAAATTGTATGAAACTGTTATGTGTAGGTACGATGTTAAATTTTAATATTCATGGATGGTGTTTTCAAGTATAACTATAAATTCAATGTTGTTTTTATAATTTGTATGTTATTAACCTTTCTATCAATGTCAACAACAAAAACAAATTTATTTCTTGAGGATTCTGTCTTCATTCAGCTGCTTAAATTTATTGTGATGCGAACGTGATGTGAGCATTAACTAGAAATTCATCAATTTAAATAACCTTATGTTTAGAGTTGTTAAGAGTTTTAAAGGTTTTACACATTGTAGATAAAACATATTTAATAATTGGATACTAATTATTAGAATGAGTCAGACATCGTAAATAAACAAAATAATTGAAACATATATTTACGTCAGAGCAAGGCCTTGTGCTAATTCTCGTCATTTCCTGACATTTTAGTTTCATCTAATTGATGAATTGAATTTTGTTGCTTATTTTGTATTCGAATATTTTAAATAGAGAATGAAATATAGAAAGCATTGGTATTGGTTGTGGGCTTCGGTTTCCGCATTTAGACTCAGAGTGGTCCTTTATGCGTCGAGGATTAATATAGAAAGCATAAAGAAAGATGAATTACCACTCAAATTTTATATGTAATTGGTTGATTTTCAGATTTTGTGGTGAAAATGTGCTGCAATTCCTGCTATACCTACCATTTGGTATTCTGTTGTTGGCATTCAGGACCCTCTTGGCATTAATATTATGGGTGGCATCTATAATACTCCCTGATAAGTCAGGGATCAGGCAAATGTTGTCTACATTGGCTTGCTGGACATTTGGTAAGAATATGTACTATTGGTACACCTTTTTAGTTTATTTAAGTAGTGACTTAAACTTCTATATAGTGCAGCAACTGCAGTTGAGAAGGTCAATTCTTGTAATAAAAGTTCGGGCAAAATTCAGTTCTGATCATCTCTCGATCATGCAACTATCATAAATGGCATTTTCACAGTAAAGATTACTAAGACTAAAGAGAAGCCGTATCTCAATCAAAGTGGCATGCAAAAGTAGTGGCCTATGTCCAGCAGTGAACTGCGATAGACTGATGATGATGACTAAGACTACTTACTTACAGATTACTCATTAAATTTTCAGTTACAATATGATATAATAACATTACAGTCAATGTTGGATGTTTAATACTTTACTATGAAAATACCTTGTGACAGTTGTGAAAAATGATCAGAACTGAATTGTGACCAAAGTTTATTACAAGAATTGACCTTCTGGTTGCATTAAACGCCTTCGCCACGCCCCTTCCTGCTACGCTGGGTGTTGTGGGTTCGATCATCACATAAGATGACACTTTGTGTCATCTACAAGTTGTGGTTCTGAGTCTGGGTGTACTTGATGTTCGTTTCATGTATGTTTGCTGCACAAGATGTTTTCTTAATGCGGGAGTTGTCTTTTTAAGAAAAGAATAGAGTGCCCTCCCCATCAGACATAAGGGGGGCTACCAGAATCCTCACTCACTTAGCAAAAAGCATTGAAAGAAATGCTTAGCAACGGTTTTCTGTGAGATTGTGGCATCCCACTTTTTGAGCCAGCCCATGTGTGCAGTAGCTTAGCTCTCCCATAATAGAAAAGATAGATACGAGTATGTACCATGTACAAATTATTTTCAGTGACAAAGTGTATGCAAAATTTCATAATTAATTCGTTCAGCATAACAAACAAATATCACTTTAATATATTACTTAGCACTGTAAGAAAATTCTAGATTTTATAATTCAGAGAACAAATACCATCATATTTGTTAGGTAGTAGTTGGCATGATACTATAAATAATCTCTTATTATTTCAGGAGTTTATGTAAAGCTAAAGGGTACAAGAGATCCTCGTTGCAGTGTCATGGTGGCCAACTATGTGTCATGTTTGGATTCACTCGCTGCCTCCCATGTCCTAAGTACTATAAGTGTAAGTAATTTCAGGTTTTATTTTAAGAACCGATAGTCTAATTATTTGCAGGGGACACCCCTTGAATTGACAGATTTTAAAAAATTGTTCACCTGTGCTATTTTGGTCTGATCAGCTTAAAAAACCTTTTACAATATTGGGCAGAACTTTCAGCTGGGTGTGTTTCTCTTTCACTACAATAGGGCAATGTACGCATTGGTGTAGCTGCTTCATAAGTAAGAGGGGGCCTAGGTCTGCTTCAGGGTTCTCGGGGACTTCTTAGGGTACTCATTTGCATTAAAAAACTGTGTTGTTTTAGTGGGTTTGATTCTGATATACCACTTTACTGCTAGTTGTAGTGAGGTGATGACCTGGAAACTCATAATGTTTGTGTTTAGTATGTAATCAAGCAAAGTCAACTACCAGATTTATTGTAAAATTTATTCAAACAATGTTGCATTGGAATAAATTTCCATATCTCTGCAATAAATAACCGTGATGTGCTCTTTGAAAACATAAATTATTGCAATTTAAAATGTGTTATAGTATCCTAATCATTGGTGATGGATATAGAACAATACACACATCAATGTTTAACATTCCATAGTTTAGCAAAACAAACATTTGAATTTATAGCTAAGGATTTGTAGATTTGTACTTTTGTCTTTTGTAAAATTTTGTGGTAATATTTAAATAGGAATAAAATATTTGCAAATTTCCAAACATCAAATTATGCTCATTGAAACTTCGTTATTTATTGCTGTGTTGACGTAATGTCATGGTGTTTTGCATTCCACAAGTTTGTGGCACATAATGTGAATAGTTTTAAATTAAATATCAAATTGCATTTGTAAATGTATGCACTGATCCTAAAATTTTGGGATTGCCAATTGCCTAATCTACCTTATTACTATATTTTAACTATGATCGCCTGAGTTTCATGTTAGATATTAAACATTTATGACGTTGATGAAACTAAAGATAAATTTACTATAAATTTTATTTATTGGCTATTGCTTATTTATTTTCTGAGTAAAGTAAGGCAAGTATGAGGTTTAATTAATTGTAGATAACAGAAATATTTCTTTTTGATTACAGTTAAGAAAATGGAAAGTACCACCATTTTTTGCAGCGACTCTTGGCATTAGAAATGCTTCTCAGTTCGTTAGAAAGTGAGTCCCACAGGGTTAATGCTACATTTAAAATATTTCGTAGACTAGATTTTGTCCCAAAATTTATGTACTTAAAATTAAGAGTGATCTTTGAAATAAATTTATGACACTATATACTGTGAATCACAAATATTGCTCAAATTGTTTTTCCTCTACTAGTTTGTTTATCCAAAAATGTTAAAATCAACCTAAATTGCAAGTGTTTTTCAGACAACATTTTGCTGAGAGTCCCAGCAAGCCTGTATTGTTACAACCCGAAGGTGGTCCCACAAATGGTAAAGGACTACTCAGGTTTACAGACTGGCCCTTCCAGATGGGCAACAGAGTACAGCCGGTAGCGATCAGTGAGTATGACCAATATGATACATGAGATAGTAGAACTTTGAACAGCTCAATAATTGAGTGGTTTAATTTTAGTTTATTTATTTAGTTATGTCAGTAGATAATGGTGCTTACGAAATCTGTTGTTCGAAAACTAGATTCACAAAAAAATTGTTTAGTCCTGTCAAACAACGTTTCGTATTCTGTAAAAGTAGTACTCGACAGGACTAAACTAGTTTTTAGTGATTTATAGTATAGTTTAGAGAGTTTTCGAACTACAGAATTAGCACCAATGACTAAATAATAATAATATTTTCGGCCATTTACACACAATACCATCTAGTTTCAAACTAAATAGAGCTTGTACTATGAAAGTCAGATTGACTTCTAAATACTGCATACTAAATGTTTGTCTTATGTGCGTACGATTGTCTTCCGTAGGTGTGGAGAGATTGTTCACGAACGTGACGGTGCACCGGCCGTCAGACTCGCGCGACAAGTTCCCCTGGTCGGACGCGCTGTGGTTCCTGTGGACGCCCGTGACGGTGTTCACGGTGCGGGTGCTGCCCTCTATAGAACGACATGACGATGACGACGTTGCCTTCGCTGCTAATATTAGAGAAAATATTGCTGAGGCACTCGAGGTAATATTTACCTTAACATTTATAATATGCTGTTTATGTTAGCTGATTGAGAATCTGATGATAAAAAATATAAAGATTTTTTTTGTGCAATAAAAAAGGCTTCTCCCGGTCATAATAGAGTCAGGATTGCCTTTGGGACCAGTAGAAGGCATGTAAAAAAGTTTAACATTTGAAATAATGAGGTGAACGTGAAAATGGTCAAAATTAATGGGTATTCTATTTTCAAAATTGTTTTTTCATAGGTATTTAATTATTAATTGAAAATTTCGAAACAAAATTACTTCTAAAATTTCCTGATAAACTATTCGCATTGTTAGCTTACTTTTTAATTTTGTCTCTAACTCATAAACTGATGGTGTTCTGTAGGGTTGTAACAGTATAAATTATGTAGTCGATATTATGACAACTGACAGCTGTCAGATTTGTTAATTTGTAATCCATGCGGTGACGGATTATCTCCATACCTAATCATCCCTTGGGTATCGTAGGAGCCGACTAAGGTGGGAAAACTTGATACAAACGCCATATTTTCTTTTTGTTAAATTTCAGCTTTACAAGCGTCCTCTGTCAGGGAGTGACGGAAGCTGTCACCGTTTTTTTACTAATGCGTGTAACTGACTGAACGTTGTAACTTACAGATCGAACAAACAGAGTTTAAATGGGAGCAGCTGAACGTGGGGCGGCGCGCGGCGCGGCGCCGGGACGCGCCCGACGTCACGCGCCTCGCCGCGCAGGTCAAGGAGGTGCTGCCGCGCGTGCCGCTCAGCGACATCCTCAGGGACCTCGGTGAGCACTACACCTGACATATACCTGTATATGTATACCGCCCGACGTCACGCGCCTCGCCGCGCAGGTCAAGGAGGTGCTGCCGCGCGTGCCGCTCAGCGACATCCTCAGGGACCTCGGTGAGCACTACACCTGACATATACCTGTATATGTATACCGCCCGACGTCACGCGCCTCGCCGCGCAGGTCAAGGAGGTGCTGCCGCGCGTGCCGCTCAGCGACATCCTCAGGGACCTCGGTGAGCACTACACCTGACATATACCTGTATATGTATACCGCCCGACGTCACGCGCCTCGCCGCGCAGGTCAAGGAGGTGCTGCCGCGCGTGCCGCTCAGCGACATCCTCAGGGACCTCGGTGAGCACTACACCTGACATATACCTGTATATGTATACCGCCCGACGTCACGCGCCTCGCCGCGCAGGTCAAGGAGGTGCTGCCGCGCGTGCCGCTCAGCGACATCCTCAGGGACCTCGGTGAGCACTACACCTGACATATACCTGTATATGTATACCGCCCGACGTCACGCGCCTCGCCGCGCAGGTCAAGGAGGTGCTGCCGCGCGTGCCGCTCAGCGACATCCTCAGGGACCTCGGTGAGCACTACACCTGACATATACCTGTATATGTATACCGCCCGACGTCACGCGCCTCGCCGCGCAGGTCAAGGAGGTGCTGCCGCGCGTGCCGCTCAGCGACATCCTCAGGGACCTCGGTGAGCACTACACCTGACATATACCTGTATATGTATACCGCCCGACGTCACGCGCCTCGCCGCGCAGGTCAAGGAGGTGCTGCCGCGCGTGCCGCTCAGCGACATCCTCAGGGACCTCGGTGAGCACTACACCTGACATATACCTGTATATGTATACCGCCCGACGTCACGCGCCTCGCCGCGCAGGTCAAGGAGGTGCTGCCGCGCGTGCCGCTCAGCGACATCCTCAGGGACCTCGGTGAGCACTACACCTGACATATACCTGTATATGTATACCGCCCGACGTCACGCGCCTCGCCGCGCAGGTCAAGGAGGTGCTGCCGCGCGTGCCGCTCAGCGACATCCTCAGGGACCTCGGTGAGCACTACACCTGACATATACCTGTATATGTATACCGCCCGACGTCACGCGCCTCGCCGCGCAGGTCAAGGAGGTGCTGCCGCGCGTGCCGCTCAGCGACATCCTCAGGGACCTCGGTGAGCACTACACCTGACATATACCTGTATATGTATACCGCCCGACGTCACGCGCCTCGCCGCGCAGGTCAAGGAGGTGCTGCCGCGCGTGCCGCTCAGCGACATCCTCAGGGACCTCGGTGAGCACTACACCTGACATATACCTGTATATGTATACCGCCCGACGTCACGCGCCTCGCCGCGCAGGTCAAGGAGGTGCTGCCGCGCGTGCCGCTCAGCGACATCCTCAGGGACCTCGGTGAGCACTACACCTGACATATACCTGTATATGTATACCGCCCGACGTCACGCGCCTCGCCGCGCAGGTCAAGGAGGTGCTGCCGCGCGTGCCGCTCAGCGACATCCTCAGGGACCTCGGTGAGCACTACACCTGACATATACCTGTATATGTATACCGCCCGACGTCACGCGCCTCGCCGCGCAGGTCAAGGAGGTGCTGCCGCGCGTGCCGCTCAGCGACATCCTCAGGGACCTCGGTGAGCACTACACCTGACATATACCTGTATATGTATACCGCCCGACGTCACGCGCCTCGCCGCGCAGGTCAAGGAGGTGCTGCCGCGCGTGCCGCTCAGCGACATCCTCAGGGACCTCGGTGAGCACTACACCTGACATATACCTGTATATGTATACCGCCCGACGTCACGCGCCTCGCCGCGCAGGTCAAGGAGGTGCTGCCGCGCGTGCCGCTCAGCGACATCCTCAGGGACCTCGGTGAGCACTACACCTGACATATACCTGTATATGTATACCGCCCGACGTCACGCGCCTCGCCGCGCAGGTCAAGGAGGTGCTGCCGCGCGTGCCGCTCAGCGACATCCTCAGGGACCTCGGTGAGCACTACACCTGACATATACCTGTATATGTATACCGCCCGACGTCACGCGCCTCGCCGCGCAGGTCAAGGAGGTGCTGCCGCGCGTGCCGCTCAGCGACATCCTCAGGGACCTCGGTGAGCACTACACCTGACATATACCTGTATATGTATACCGCCCGACGTCACGCGCCTCGCCGCGCAGGTCAAGGAGGTGCTGCCGCGCGTGCCGCTCAGCGACATCCTCAGGGACCTCGGTGAGCACTACACCTGACATATACCTGTATATGTATACCGCCCGACGTCACGCGCCTCGCCGCGCAGGTCAAGGAGGTGCTGCCGCGCGTGCCGCTCAGCGACATCCTCAGGGACCTCGGTGAGCACTACACCTGACATATACCTGTATATGTATACCGCCCGACGTCACGCGCCTCGCCGCGCAGGTCAAGGAGGTGCTGCCGCGCGTGCCGCTCAGCGACATCCTCAGGGACCTCGGTGAGCACTACACCTGACATATACCTGTATATGTATACCGCCCGACGTCACGCGCCTCGCCGCGCAGGTCAAGGAGGTGCTGCCGCGCGTGCCGCTCAGCGACATCCTCAGGGACCTCGGTGAGCACTACACCTGACATATACCTGTATATGTATACCGCCCGACGTCACGCGCCTCGCCGCGCAGGTCAAGGAGGTGCTGCCGCGCGTGCCGCTCAGCGACATCCTCAGGGACCTCGGTGAGCACTACACCTGACATATACCTGTATATGTATACCGCCCGACGTCACGCGCCTCGCCGCGCAGGTCAAGGAGGTGCTGCCGCGCGTGCCGCTCAGCGACATCCTCAGGGACCTCGGTGAGCACTACACCTGACATATACCTGTATATGTATACCGCCCGACGTCACGCGCCTCGCCGCGCAGGTCAAGGAGGTGCTGCCGCGCGTGCCGCTCAGCGACATCCTCAGGGACCTCGGTGAGCACTACACCTGACATATACCTGTATATGTATACCGCCCGACGTCACGCGCCTCGCCGCGCAGGTCAAGGAGGTGCTGCCGCGCGTGCCGCTCAGCGACATCCTCAGGGACCTCGGTGAGCACTACACCTGACATATACCTGTATATGTATACCGCCCGACGTCACGCGCCTCGCCGCGCAGGTCAAGGAGGTGCTGCCGCGCGTGCCGCTCAGCGACATCCTCAGGGACCTCGGTGAGCACTACACCTGACATATACCTGTATATGTATACCGCCCGACGTCACGCGCCTCGCCGCGCAGGTCAAGGAGGTGCTGCCGCGCGTGCCGCTCAGCGACATCCTCAGGGACCTCGGTGAGCACTACACCTGACATATACCTGTATATGTATACCGCCCGACGTCACGCGCCTCGCCGCGCAGGTCAAGGAGGTGCTGCCGCGCGTGCCGCTCAGCGACATCCTCAGGGACCTCGGTGAGCACTACACCTGACATATACCTGTATATGTATACCGCCCGACGTCACGCGCCTCGCCGCGCAGGTCAAGGAGGTGCTGCCGCGCGTGCCGCTCAGCGACATCCTCAGGGACCTCGGTGAGCACTACACCTGACATATACCTGTATATGTATACCGCCCGACGTCACGCGCCTCGCCGCGCAGGTCAAGGAGGTGCTGCCGCGCGTGCCGCTCAGCGACATCCTCAGGGACCTCGGTGAGCACTACACCTGACATATACCTGTATATGTATACCGCCCGACGTCACGCGCCTCGCCGCGCAGGTCAAGGAGGTGCTGCCGCGCGTGCCGCTCAGCGACATCCTCAGGGACCTCGGTGAGCACTACACCTGACATATACCTGTATATGTATACCGCCCGACGTCACGCGCCTCGCCGCGCAGGTCAAGGAGGTGCTGCCGCGCGTGCCGCTCAGCGACATCCTCAGGGACCTCGGTGAGCACTACACCTGACATATACCTGTATATGTATACCGCCCGACGTCACGCGCCTCGCCGCGCAGGTCAAGGAGGTGCTGCCGCGCGTGCCGCTCAGCGACATCCTCAGGGACCTCGGTGAGCACTACACCTGACATATACCTGTATATGTATACCGCCCGACGTCACGCGCCTCGCCGCGCAGGTCAAGGAGGTGCTGCCGCGCGTGCCGCTCAGCGACATCCTCAGGGACCTCGGTGAGCACTACACCTGACATATACCTGTATATGTATACCGCCCGACGTCACGCGCCTCGCCGCGCAGGTCAAGGAGGTGCTGCCGCGCGTGCCGCTCAGCGACATCCTCAGGGACCTCGGTGAGCACTACACCTGACATATACCTGTATATGTATACCGCCCGACGTCACGCGCCTCGCCGCGCAGGTCAAGGAGGTGCTGCCGCGCGTGCCGCTCAGCGACATCCTCAGGGACCTCGGTGAGCACTACACCTGACATATACCTGTATATGTATACCGCCCGACGTCACGCGCCTCGCCGCGCAGGTCAAGGAGGTGCTGCCGCGCGTGCCGCTCAGCGACATCCTCAGGGACCTCGGTGAGCACTACACCTGACATATACCTGTATATGTATACCGCCCGACGTCACGCGCCTCGCCGCGCAGGTCAAGGAGGTGCTGCCGCGCGTGCCGCTCAGCGACATCCTCAGGGACCTCGGTGAGCACTACACCTGACATATACCTGTATATGTATACCGCCCGACGTCACGCGCCTCGCCGCGCAGGTCAAGGAGGTGCTGCCGCGCGTGCCGCTCAGCGACATCCTCAGGGACCTCGGTGAGCACTACACCTGACATATACCTGTATATGTATACCGCCCGACGTCACGCGCCTCGCCGCGCAGGTCAAGGAGGTGCTGCCGCGCGTGCCGCTCAGCGACATCCTCAGGGACCTCGGTGAGCACTACACCTGACATATACCTGTATATGTATACCGCCCGACGTCACGCGCCTCGCCGCGCAGGTCAAGGAGGTGCTGCCGCGCGTGCCGCTCAGCGACATCCTCAGGGACCTCGGTGAGCACTACACCTGACATATACCTGTATATGTATACCGCCCGACGTCACGCGCCTCGCCGCGCAGGTCAAGGAGGTGCTGCCGCGCGTGCCGCTCAGCGACATCCTCAGGGACCTCGGTGAGCACTACACCTGACATATACCTGTATATGTATACCGCCCGACGTCACGCGCCTCGCCGCGCAGGTCAAGGAGGTGCTGCCGCGCGTGCCGCTCAGCGACATCCTCAGGGACCTCGGTGAGCACTACACCTGACATATACCTGTATATGTATACCGCCCGACGTCACGCGCCTCCAAAAGAAATAAAAAGAGATCCTTTCCTCTACGTGAGGAGGATATAGCATCTGATCCTCTACAAACCAACATCAAACAATAATAATAATATTTCGGACATTTGACACACAACGTCATCTAATGAAATGAAATGATATTTATTTCTGTAAGTAAATGTTTTTAGATATTTTTACAAGTCGGAAATATAGTTTCATCTAGTTTCAAACTAAGGAGAGCTTGTACTATGAAATCTAGATTGACTGATAGAAAAATTGTAAAAATATATTATAAAGGGTGTAAGGGGACATCGTAACGAATACTCCAACAGTGTATTCATACCATAATTCTGAATCGAAAATCATTGGAATTTTCTGCCGGAAGATCAAACAAACAAAGGTTAAGGTCATTTCCCGTAGGTATCGCACAAAAGTAATAATTACATGTGTATTCCGTGCACACAGTCTACGCACACTAACACTAGTTGGAGGCGAGGTCGCGCGCGCTTCGGCTGTTTGATAAATTAAATAGCAGTTTTTGATCGTATGCAGTATTTATTAATTTGATTTCGGCGAAATTTTCTCTTTACTCATTGTGATATCATTTTTAACAAAAAGAAATGGAAAATTATAAAAACAAAAAAACAATTTTCCCTCAGAAAATTTCAATGATTTGCGACTCAGAATCCTGATCTGAATACACTATTTCAGTATTCGTTACGATGTCCCTTACACCCTGTATAATGACAAAATATTCCAAATTGTAATATTTGTTCAACAGCGAATACGAGGAGCGTGGACGTAACAATCACGAACTTCCTGGAAGGCGTGACGCCGTACACGCCGGAGCCCGATCCGCCCGCGGAGCCCGGGCCCAGCACGTCGCAGGTGACCCCCAGATACGTGACCCCCGTCCCCACCGGGGTCTTCCCCAAAAGCGCAAAGGAGCGACAGCTCAGTTTCCAAGAGAAAAAAGCTCAAATGATCGCCGAAGCTCGCAAGAGGTATATAGAGAAACACGGACTCAGTGTAGCTTTGAACAATTGTTGAGAGGCGGTCAATTTTGTTGTTTATGTTTTTGGAATTAAATGATGTTCGTATTCGACATAGTTTAATTGAGCAGACATTATTTATGCGATTTTGTCGCGTTTGACGCGCTTCGGGATTCGCAATTTTAAACCAATATTGCCTATTTATACAATAGAATGTCGATGAACTTCGCCGAAGAACGAGAGTGTTACTCGCGGTGTCACGTCACAATGTGGTAGTCTATTCTAGATAATTGATATAGTTTTAGTAATACCTCGAGTTACGTCACTAGTCTTGAGTTACGTAAGGCGATATTATAACCGTTTATTGTGAGGGGCTCGGAGTGGGTTTTAATTCATCATCTGCCTACCCTTTTCCCATTTAAAAAAAAATCTAATTATAATAATATGTAAATGGTTAAATTTAAATATAATATGCAAGTGAAGCAATAAATCGGGCTTTATTTAAATGTAGTTCAATAAAAAAATTAAAATATTTTCTTGTAAGTAATGTAATAAACTTATATAAAATGCAGCAAAGTGATGAAACGCAAAAGGCGGTGTATGGCTGGCCCTTTTACTGCCTTCGAAACTAAAATGAAAGTTGGGAATTCACACTCGATGCGTGTGATTTTACTGACAAACAGCCTTTTGAATAAAACTCTCGAAGTAGCTTTTAGGATTTCTTAAAGCAATAATACCAGATGGTATTGTTAAAAGAGATGTTGTTTGCCTAAAGTTTTTTATAACAACAAAATAAATAAAAGTGTGGGTCTTGAGCCATAATCTTTTCAAAATCAAAATTAATTAATTTTAACAGGTAGTGGAAGTCACAGTTCCTAAATTGTATGTAAGTCGGGGTATTACCAACCAAAGTACGGTACATTAGTTTAGTACCCACGTCGACACAGCGTGAGAATGATATATTGGCAAGAATGTAGAATGTATATTGACATAAACAACGAAATTGTCCACATGATGATAGCCACATCACGAAACCAACGGGATTAGTAATATAGTTAGTGCCTAAATAAGACGTAAATTAATTTTTGATCTAATTATACATCCACAATACAGTTATGTGAATGAATAGATGTGCTCGCGTTTATATATATTATATTTTCACACGCGGAGCCCTTCTCTTTTTGAAATAAAGTAGCCTACTTACAACATTAGTTATCTGCGAAAAGTCCCGTGGGAATCGGTCCATCCGTTCCGGAGATTAGAAGGAACAAACAGATAGACACACTTAAATTTTAAAATTTTGACTCTTTAGTATAAGTACCGTGTGACGTTACAAACAGAGTTCTATTTTGTTTACTTGTAGTGATATAGATTTAGTGAAATTTAGGTCTGCGTTTATTTCTTATTCAAATTCGTATTTTAATTGAGGTAAGCGCGTGGCCTTTAAAACCAGCCCGACACAACCCTCCTGTGATGAAAGGGATAGGGTGAGGGGGCTAGGATAACGGATACGGTAGGTTACAGATGGGGAATCCAGACCGAGATTGCAGTAGTTCAAAAAAGCTGTTCGTGTGTGCATACATTTATGTCTGATTATATTTTGATTTACATTATACATTTGATTATGATTTTTCGCTTCCATCTTTATCACATATAAAGATGGAAACGAAAAATACATAACACTAGTAAGTCATATTATAGCTGGTTTGTTTTTACCTGACTTTTGTGAATATATTGTCCAGAGGCCCAAGTGCGAGTTTATTTGACATCAACTCGCTCGTCACAGTGACCGCGTTCGGCGCTGCTATTGGCCCGCACCGAAATCTTTACCAATCGCAGCGCCGAACGCGCTTGCTGTCGAAAGCGAGTTCATGTGAAATAAACGTACACTAGGCCCTCAGGTCAACGTTGAACATGTGCGTAAGATTCATTTGTAAGTTTTATTTTTATTTTAACCGATTTCAAAAAAGAAAAAAACTTCTTAATTAGGTTAAATTTTTATGTTTGTTGCCTCAGAACTCCATCATTTATGAATCGTTTTGGAAAATCTTGTTTTTTAAAGAAGGGGAGTATTGTCCGTTTGGGCTCATTAAAATTTGAAGCATTAATACTACCTTGTAGACCACCACACACTAGGATGAAGAATAGTTGATTACAAGTCATTCATCATGTCCCTTCATCATTGCAGTCGGTTCTTCTTTTAAAGTTGATTATTTTTTGACAAATTTAAAAATGTTAAACATTTTATTTAAAAAAAAATATTAAGGTTATTTTACTATGTTTATTATAGGTATAATTGTAATGTGGATGTAAAAAAATATAATAAATGGAAATCCTTCCAAAGTGATGACGTAGTTTCACCAACTTTAGTTTTGTATTCATCACCATTGTCACCAACTCTTTGGTTACGTATATTTTTAAATTTAATGGTTGTTTTATTACTTATATGTAAATGTTACTATTTAATTTTTCAAATTGAAAAAAAAATGTGCGGAATTCCTTATTTTATTATTTGGTGTCGGTCAGACATTACTGTTAGCAGTGATATAAAAAGATAATAATTGAAATTGGTTGGTTGTATTAATTATGACACGAAAATTTATCGTAAAAAGTAACCCAGACACCTATAGGTGCTGAAGATAAACAAGCACTAGTGAATCTTGAGTTACATCCATGGGCGGTGGTAGGCGCTTACCATCACATGATCTGTCTCCTAGTTTGCCCCCTTTACCATTAAAATAATGAATAAAATGATAGCACCTATTTGCATTTACAATATACCTTGGGCATGTAAACTAAATGTTATCCATTTTAGATAGTTTACTGAGACAGATTTTTTTAAATTAGTGCTATGATAGTTTTGGAACATTTATTATTGTGTAATTAAGGTTCTAATAAAATTTAAACCTTATAAGACTTTTTTTTTGAATTTGTGAGTATATGAATATTATTTACAAATTAGAAATGCTCTAATCGGAGAGGTTCAAGTGAGGTACGACAAGATTACAGATACATCTAGACAATTACAAATCAATTAATAAAAACTAATCTGAAATTTCTATCTAGTCTATCAACGTAGAGGCTTATTAAAATAACTAAAAGTAACACTGCAATGTTTTGACTGACGCCATTGTTAGGATGTTGGAATTGAATATTTTGCAATATTTATATAAAATCAAAGATTATTTTTCATATTTTAGTAATTAGATGTATGTCAGTATAATAAGTTTTGAATTAAAACCATGCCTTTATATAAGTGCAAAGATTAGAGAACTGAACTATGTGTGTTCCAATGTCTGTTAGAATGTACCTATAGCAGTATCGTTTATATTTATTAAATTTAAGTTTGTTTATTAAATATTTTATTCATTAAAATGTACCTCCACTCCATTTCCAAGACCATTCTACTGTTCGAATTAGAAATAATAAAAAAGTATATAAAAAATAACTTATTTAATAATATTATTGGTTAGTATGAAAAAATATTTTACTGGTAATGCTATTATTACTAATTATTTTACTAGTAACAAATCACGGGTAAATTATTTTACTGGCAACATGTTATTCGTAAAATAATTACCCAGTGCCACGTTCCTACTAAAATAGTTTAACAGTGACACATTCTTAGTGAAATAATTTACTAGGAACATATTGGGGGGAAATTATTTTACTAGGAAAGTGTCACAGGTAAATTATTTTACGAGTAACAGGTTGCCAGTAAAACAATTTACCCGTAATATTTTACTAGTAAAATAATTTACTATTAACGTGTTGCTGCCAAATTATTTTACTAGAAACGTGTCGCTGGTTAATTATAGTACTAGTAACGTTACTTATAAATTAATTTACTAATAAAATATTAGTGGGAAAGTCGAAAATCATGTAATACAAATACAACAGCATGTAAACGTGTGTATTTGAAGGCTGTATTATTATTCTTTTGTAACAGGTTTTATAAGTATTTCTTCAGAACTATTATACAACACATTTATTTTAGACATTTTTGATTCATATGTGTTAAAGTACTTTCTATTGTTAAGGGAAATTACCATGAACATAACATTCATATATTCATTTATCGCTGAAATACAAATCATTTCTTTTATACAACCGACAATCAAACGCACGACCTACTCTATATTATTGGCAGTTCTTATCACATGCCTGTTCTCGTGACACTAGTTTGGTCCCTTTTTTGTTCCTGCCTTTACATCCAGAACATCTAAGAGGGGTCAACGCAGGACCTTCAAAGTTGTTCGGCCCTTGCTTACCACAAAAAAGCTAACGTAGTGGTACCATCCATCTCACCTATTTGCATTAGGATTTTTGAAGAAATTGGTTATACCATACTTCTTTCTTCAGAATGTCGTTTTTTTGAAGTGATAACTTCTTATGGGAGGGTAAACTGCTTCGTTACGTAACACGTTACGGCGCCAGTCCTTCCCTTTCTCTCACGCATACGGTAGCGGTAGGCAGGCTCCTCCTCTCTCACTCTAACCCACAGCGCTAGCCGTATTTCGGACAGACGCTTTACATAAAATTTAAGTAATAACCTAAACTTTTCTCAAGTTAAACAATTTCAATATTAAATACCTAGTTCAACTTAGATTAGTTTAAGTTATCACTTTTGTCTGGCGACCCGAGACGCACACCTTTTGTTAAGTCTTGTCTACGTATATTGGTACTAATCAGGTGTTTTTTATTAATTGGTTTTGTATGTATTTCATTGTATGTTAGATCTCATGGTATAGATGGGATGACTGTTTGGCTGTTGTATCAATTGACATCGCAATGTGTACATGTGCATTTGTACGTAACGAATAAAGTAGAGCCATATATATAACCTTTAAACGCCATTGTCGTTTATACATGATAAAAATACGATTCTCGATGCTATTAAAAAATAATTCTTTTATGTACAAAACATGCCATAATTATATAACGCTCCAGTAGCTATGGTATGTATCCCCATGGTGTATGAAAGCGATTCATAACTATGTATAGTCAATGGATTGTAATAATTGTCTTACGAGATTAATGTAGTGAAAATATTATGATGAGTAAAATAGTTATGAACTGCTTTCATAATCATTCATTTCTCACAGTATATAATTATACCTTTAGAACTATAGTAAATCATGGCTGTATCCTTATCTATGTGTCAATGTCTCTAAAATAAACATACAAATAAATATTTTCGAAGAAATGTGGCTCCTGATGGACTACCTGAGGTGTACCCTTAAAAAGTTCTTTATTTATATGTTAAAGCTATTCTATGTTATTTACATACCTACGGATTTTATGTCCAAATGTGTCATTTTTAATTTTAGAACAAGTGTTTTAACATCGGAAGGTCGGCTTTAGTCGAGAGGTATTTGCCCAGCGCTGGACGTCCCGGCTAATAAATTTGAGGATGTTTAAATATTAATTTAGTTGATACCTAAATAAACAATAGTTATATCAGACTAGTCTCTGCTTTATTCGTTACTCTAATACATATGCAAAATTCTTTCAACTGTCGAATGGCTTCCTACATTGTTGCAACCATTTAGTTTTTAATATTGAACACTACGGTTAATTAAATAAATAAAGTTATGTTTCAAACATTCTTTTATTTATTAAACTATTAGATTGTAGAGGATACGGTTTAAACCACACCCGGTACTATGAGCATTATATATTATAAGCCTCTCCATTGTAAGGAGAAGCCTATATCCAGCAGTGCACTGTTAAAAACTGTTGATGATGATGATTATATATTAAAAAAAAAGATCACCTATCTTAGTAGAAATTCTTTCCAAAACAATAAGACATATATTTTTTTAAATCGTTTATTTGATTTAGTAAGAAAACAATAGGTACAGTTTATAAGGATACTTTACAAAAAGTACGTCGCTAATAGATGCAAGTACTAGAGGACCAAAGTATGTCATAGCCAGTAAATATACATTCTTAAGTATTTACCTAGCTCCCATAACCTTACCCTTCCCCCTGATTGTCTGGGGAAGGTGGAGGGGGGTGAGGATTCAAAGGAGGCTTCCCAGTGTAGTTTGCAGGTGTCCATGAGTGGAAGTAGTCATTTACTACCAGAAGGCCAATTCTCGTAATAAAAGTTCGGTCACAATTCAGTTCCGATCAACTATCGATCTCCCAACTGTCATAAAAGGTATTTTGGTAGTAAAATAGTAAAGTATTACTAAGACTAGCAGACTACAGATTTAACTTTCGGTTACAATACGATAAATCACATTACAGTCAACGTTGGATGTATAATACAAATTTATTTCAAATTTTTCATTCATATCTTTACTCTTTTTAACCGACTCCAGAAAAGAAGGAGGTTATCAATTCGTATGTTCATATTTTTTTATGTATGTTCGGGTATAACTCCGTCATATATACATAGACGGCTTTGCAAAATTCTTTTTTTGTTCGAAAGGGGTTTATTCCAAAATGGTGTCATTTAAATTCCATATAGGTCTGATGATGAGTTTCGGAGACAGACAAGGGAACTCTTCAAAAAATTACAGCAAATTAACCGCGATTGCTGCTAGATTTTTAGTGCTCTTTATTAGTATTGTTTGAAGTCGATTCAACTTTTTTCTTTTTTGTTTTTTTGGATTTTACTTGTTGCTTAAAAAATGCATACGAAAAAAATTCCCTCGTGTACGTATAAATATCTTACTATTCATTGCGTCCTCACATACTTAAACCTATTGAATTATTATAATGTAAAAAATTATAGTCCAAGTCTATGTGGAGTCCGTCGTGGAGTACTTAATCCTGGAGTGGCGATCTCTTGCTTGATCGGAACATCTTCGTCTTTTCTCTTGCGTTCTTCTACCATCTTCTGTTCGGCTTCTTTCATTTCTTCTTCCATGCGTTGTAGATGTACGGCTGCTTCCTTACGCTTGTCACGGTTTGATCTGAAAATTCAAGATAATGTTTGAGCTTAAGGCTTTGGCGTGTGAACGCATCAGATTATTCATTTGATATTTATTTATTTCTGCAAGTAAATCTTTTTAGATACTTTTACAAGTCGGACTTTACAGCTAGAAGGCATTTCCTAAGACTCACTCTGGGAAGAAACGCCGAAACAAACCACAGAAGTATTTAAGTCCGTGTACAATGTTAAAGAGTACTATGTGACTGCAGTATAGGGTCTGGGTTGACTTTTTGAAGAAATGACCATAGTTTTGAGTCGGCCCGTCCATACAGACGGCATACGGGCCCCAGCCATCGTGCAGCCTAACCGATACAGTCAGGATCATCAACCCGGAACACGACACTACCGCCAGTAGGACACTTGAGTAGGCCGAGGAAAGTGGAAGTGGAGTGAAAAGGAAAGTTACTAAAATATGAGACATTACAAGCCTACGCTACAAAACAAATACGAATTAAACCAAAAAATTTAATGTTCATCACTTTCAAATGTGGGAGTGAGGAACATCAATCTCAAGCAAATTTGTCATTGTTAGGATAAAATTGTTAATGACATTTATATTGTAATTAGGGGTTAGATATATGTATGAATAGAGAATATTATGACTTAGTAGCTGTCCTGGTTATATTGGTCCTAGTCATCATTATCTTTATTTAAACTTCATTATTAGAAGACGTGGGTTCGATTCCCACACGGAAAAATATGTGATCAGCGCGATCATAGGCGTCTGGGTGTAATTTATCTATAATATGTAGGTAGGTATTTAATAACATAGTATGTTTATCAGCATTCCGGTTGAGATAGTACTGGCTCTGCCTAATTTAGGGTCAGACGGGCGCGTGTGAGATGTGTCAAGTTATTTTTTATTATTTACATTCCTTATTTTTATTGTATTGTAATCATGATCACGGGCGGCCTTTGGGGGCGGCGAGCAGGGCAACCGCGCGGGGCATCGCTCATAAAGAGGCCTCGCTTACTCGCTGGACAACCCAAGTAGAAAAATATGTTTATTTGAATTTACCTACTTATAAATTTTGTGACAAAAACTAAATAATTCAGTTTCTCAATCAAGTGATATCATACTAAAAAGTTGTTTTATATGAAAAATATGAGGCTGTTATTTATTGCCAGACTTGTAAAGAACTCTAATACTCACTTGCCCGTCTCCTTAACGCTAAAGAACATGGGTCCCAGTTCAGCGAGCCACCTGCCATCCACAGCGGTGACGCAATGCATGTACTCCTTCGTGGTCATCATAAGTTCATGGTAGACGACGTAGTCAGGCGAGTTGCCAAGTCCGAACAGCGCAGAGGTTGGGTGAAGATGACACGGCATACCAGTCCGGCAGTTCACGTATTCACCGATACCTTTTAGTCTAGCAGCTTGCTGGAAGTATGCTGTTGAGGAGATGGAAATAAAAGCAATTATTAAAATACGGTCTGAAAATAGTGGAAATAGTTACCATGGTAAAAATCAGTATTGGGCATCATTTTTCCAAACTCGATAGATGACATCCTATTATATTTTGTATTGTACTATTTGGAGTACAAAAAATAAATTATTTTTAACTGCTGGAAAGTTTTTGTTCAGTTTGTACAGAGTTAAAAGTAAAAATAAAAAAATTTCTGCAGAGGTAAAATAGATCAAAACGCTGTAAGAAGTTATGGTGTCAGTAACGGTCATGTGTAACATTTATCGGTATAATCCGCTGGAATTCGTGCGTTGAACTCAATCTAAAGCCTAGGTCTCACCTCACTAGGTATTTAACTACAACATAGTACATACCGGAGCAGATGCACTTCCGCACGGTGTCCCAGTCGGTGCCGGCGGAGACGAGAGGGAGGCGCTGCGCCTGCATGATGTCCTTGAGCTGCTGGCGCACCTCGCGCACCTTGCGCATCGCCTTGCCGTGCACGAAGTGCTCCGTGCACCACTGGCCCGAGTAACTGACACATACACATTTTAATAAAGTTCTCATTTAACAGTCAAATTTCGTTCAAATTCATGTTACTTTTTTGGGAGAATTAAAAAATTAATAGACTATAGAAAAATATTTTATAACAAAAAAGAAAAGGATAAACGAAAAAAGAATTACTAAACTTAATCTTAAACACGACACAAAACTTACTTGTTAGACTTCCACTGATTGTAAAGATGCAACAACGTGAGATGATCTGACTCCGGTACTTGGAATTTCTCTTTGACCGAGTCGGCTTCTTCCTCCCGTCCTTGGGGCCGGTAAAATACGGACGGTACTGATAACATGGACACTAGAAGAAAAAATAAGTTCAACTATAAATCCACGTAATAGCAGGGTAACTTTATAGATACATATAAAAATCTGACAGTTTTTAAAAGATTTGAAGTAAATCCATAGGAAAGGAAGGAATCCGTAAGTAAAACTAGTAGGAGTAATAGTTAATACACAAGTTAAATCGATAAATAAGATAATTTTACCTATAATGAGAACTTCAGCACTACAACCCATTTCAGCAGATACAATGAGCATGTGACACTGCGGTGGGTCGAGCGGAAACTCTGCCATTTGTCTACCCAAAGACGTCAGAGCTCCTGTCCCGTCCAGAGCGCCCAATATCCACAATTGGTACATCGAGTTCAAAATTGTATCCTGTGTTTAAAAGATAAACTTGTTAGATTATATTTTAATAACTTAACATAAAACTTTGACACTGTTACTATTCACAGTTTCAACTACAAATTTAAAAGTTACATGCAATTATGATACTCAGAAAGAAATATAAAATTAAGGAATAATTAAAAATATATGCATGCAAAACTGAAGAATTTATATTGAGGATCTGTTGTTATTGTAAGGAGTGCCACAAGGCAGAGTTTTGGCTCAAGGAATTATCATATGCACTAGATTATTTGTTGAGTCACATTTACCTGTGGAGGAGGATCCATAAAATGAAAAGCAAGCAGATCTTCAACACCCAAAGACTTTAGCAGTAGTACAGTATTTGCAAGGTTCGTTCTCTGTATTTCAGGCACCGTTGAGGGCAGTAACTCGTGTTGGTACTGACGTTGAGTGTAGAGGCAGAAAGCTTTGCCTGGGCCCGTACGACCGGCACGGCCAGCTCTTTGACGAGCATTTGCCTGACTCACTGGGTATATCTAAACAAATAAAATACTCTATTATAATCGATATAAAACCTTTAAAAAAATAACTACGTATTTCAATAATCTCATTTACACATTCATTCAACATTCGACATTTATGAAGCTAGGTGTTGAAAAAGCTAAAAAAGGAATTATGATATTTTTTTATATTTCTATATTGAGACTAATTACTAAAGCATTTTTTTTATCAAATATACTTTTGTAAAGTAATTATACAAATAGCAAACTATAAACTAAAGTATTAAGTGTGTCTTACCTGCAGTGCGTCCATACCAATCCTCGGGTTGTAAACCTTCAGCTTGCAGTATCCACAGTCGATCACGTACATTATACCGTCCACAGTCAATGACGTTTCTGTCAAAATAAATATACATAATTGTTGTACAGATGTCCAACGATAATTTATTTCACAAATGAAAAAGTCATGTTAAGTAAACTTTAGTCATTTTATTTATACAACAAAATATAGTTATAAGCTACTAAAAATAATTTTCTAGAGAGTAACAACAAAAATCTTTTCATTTTATAAGGTACTCGAATCGTTATTTCTTATTAACCGACTTAAAAATTTGATCCGTGTATTGACAGACTAAGAATACAGAGTGTCACCACCCCTGTTCATCCCATGGGTGTCGTAAGAGCCGACTAAGGGAGCAAACTACGCAGAACAACAGTACTGCAAAGAGAAGGAAAATTTTACACAAACCCTATACCAACCCGTCTGGCCAGCGTGGTATAGTAGGCCAAAACCTCCTTTTTAAGGAGAGGCCTATATCCAGCAGTGCGCACTACGAGGGTGCGTTTTTAAGTTTGCGGAATGAGAGGGCCACGTGTTCAGTGACTCATAATTAGTATAAAAACCAGGTTTCATTGTTATTAGACAATTAGTCTTTGAGTTATCGTCAACCAAGCAACATAATCGGGAGTGAAAAGTGAAACATGGAAAAAATCGATTATCGTGCCGTTATAAAGTTCCTTACCAAGCAAGGAAAATCAGTTGCGACCATAATGAATGAGACGTCATTGGTTTACGGCGACTCTTGTCCAGGAAGAACCATGGTGTACAAATGGCACAGTTTATTTAAACAAGGAAGGGAATCCCTTGAAGACGACCCGAGGCCGGGCAGGAGCATCGAGGTGATCACGCCAGAACTTATCCAAAAAGTCGAAAAAATTGTACTCGACGATGCTCGACTAAAGAAGAAACAACTCGCAGAAGTGGTTGGAGTATCTGATACAACCATTTTTAGAATTCTGCACGATCATTTTGGCATGACAAAGGTCAGTGCAAGATGGGTGCCGAGAATGCTCACGCCGACGCAAAAACAACAGCGCGTAGAGTGTTCACGTGCATTTTTAGAATTTTATAATGAAGACAAGGATACTGTATTGAGTAGAATTGTTACTGGAGACGAAATTTATATGTACCTGAGTCGAAACAAGACTCCATGCAGTGGCATAAAAAGGGCACAGCACCTCCAAAGAAGTTTAAGGTGTCACAGTCAGCATGGAAACTCATGGCAACGGTCTTTTAGGACTCAGAAGGAATATTATTGATCGATTATAAAGATAAAGGTGTTTCTATAACCGGAGAATACTAAGCTTCAATATTAGAGCGACTCAAAGAAGCCATTAAAGAGAAAAGACGGGGAAAATTGTCAAAAGGTGTGTTGCTTTTGCACGACAACGCGCCCGTCCACAAGAGCCGCGTTGCGTTGGCTGCCCTGCATAAGGTGGGCTTCGATATTTTGAATCACCCACCCTACAGCCCAGACATGGCCCCCAGCGATTATTACCCGTTTCCAAAAATGAAAAAAGAGCTGCGGGGTAAAAAATTTACCAACGATGATGAAGTCAAGGAGGCAGTTTCGGCGTATTTTGAAGACAAAGAGAAAACATTTTTTATGAATGTATAAACAAATTAATTGAAAGATCTGAAAAATGTACCCGTCTTGCAGGTGAATATATTGAAAAGGAAAAATAATTTGGTATTTTATTTCCACCCCTTATCCCCCATTCCGCGAACATAAAAACGCTCCCTCGTATTAAAGGCTGTCGATGATGACTTAAAAAAATCGATTCTCAATTCGACTTATTTTTTTTGCGTAAATTCCGCGATATGTCCACAATGTGTGACAACCAGTACCAATAAAATTATTCAATGCATGGGTTCAATATAAAGGTTGCAAAATTAAGAAATCAAGAATACAGCTTACTACAATTGATCACGATTTAAGCACATTGAAGAAACTTTGATAGTTATTTATTGAAATTAGTACAACACTGAGTACATATAGTATCATCAGATTTTTGTAGCACATTTTTAGGGTATTTAGAAATCGGGCACGCCGTCATCGCGGCGGTAAGACCCGTTATGGAGGATTGGCTCGAGAGGCGTCACGGGACCCTCTCATACCGATTGCGCAGGTGATCACTGGGAAGGGATGTTTCGGGGATCACCTGTGTCTGATCCGCAAGGAGCCAACGCCTGAGTGCCACCACTGCGATGGCCAGACCGTGGACACGGCTCTCCACACGCTGGCAGAGTGCCCGGCGTGGGTTGAGCAGAGGCGAGACCTCGTGGCGGCCATCGGAGTGGGAGTTCTCTCGCTCGATAGCCTGATTGCGGCTATCGTGCGGAGCGAGAGTGCGTGGAACTCTGCCGTCTCCTTCTGCGAGCAAGTTATGCTCGCGAAGGAGACGGCGGAGCGGGACCGGGAGAGGTTTTGGACTCTCCCGGCCCGCCAGGCCCGGGAACGGGCCAGGTACCGCAGGCGACTCAGGCGCCGGAGGTCGCAGAACGACCTCCGTCCTCCATAAGCGCAGGCCTGGGGGTGACAGGTGAGGCCATCTGTCACCCTAGCAGAAGCAGGCTAAATAATCTATCCCACTGCATAATTTGACTACGTAGAAAATATGTTTATATATTCATAAGTCGTAAGTTGGGAAATGAGATCAGATGAAAATCTTTTTCTTTCAGTTTTTGCTTGATAGAGTTAGATAAGTATTTAGAGTGTGTAGGGCAAAGTAGGTTTCAGTTTTGACTATATTTAGTTTCTCTGTTACCTGCAATATTAGTAGCCACGATGCATTTTCTTTGTCCGGGTGGTGCACGCTGGAAGATCTTAGCTTGCAGATCAGCTGGCAGTTGAGAATATATTGGGAGGACTGTGAGTGGAGGTGCGCTGTCTAAATCTGTTAAGCGCTCTGTGAGTACCTGCAAGAAAAAAATGTACGAGCTGTTACTACCAGTTTTAAATGCGTTTATACTGACTGCTCCACTCCTAAGGATTATCGCGTGCCCAGCATTACACGACCACTACTATAAATCCTGTATACCAGGATCCATAGTAATGACCCACAAACAATCAAACACAGTAAAGTCCCAGAACTGTTTTGACACTCGCAACGAAATTAAACACAAGTAAATTGGAGGAGTTGGTAATACAATAAATCCACTTCCCTCTTTAGCAAAGCAGGAGACAAAAAATGACGGGTGATAAACTTTCAAAAAGATTGTTTCATAATCGCATGAATCTCTAAAGATTAGAGTTCAACCAAGAAGCAAACTTCTTCACACATTATCTGGCAAAATAGGGGATATTTTTCTCTGTATTTTCTATTAAATGTTGTAGATGATGTCACGTCTTGTTCTCTGTTCTTCCTTTATGTATATAGTATATAATGGTTCAGCCCTAAGTACCCACCTCACAAGTAACTTCGATGTCTTCTTGACCCGGCATGAAGATCAGTATGTCTCCTTCTTCAGGTTGCAAGTGGATTTGAAGAGCCTGGAAACAAACGAATAAGTGTGAGTCATTTACTAATGTGTATGCTTATGTATGTGTGTGTATGTGTGTGTACTATCCGAATTTATCTTTTCCTTTGTTCTGTCTGGAAACGCTTACATTCTAAAGAGGATTGGCGTCAGGCAGACGGCTGATCATAACATAAACTAGCAAAAATCCCTAGAATAGGGAATATGCATGTATTTTTTTTTATTTTTTTAAACGATTCTACTAGTTATTACATTACCAAAAATAAATATAAAACATCCGAAATATAAACCGTTAAGCAAAAAATTTTTTATTAAAATCACTATCATTTTGGGGCAATTTGTACAAGTCCATTTTGGCGCGCTTTTTTTGTGACGTCAGATTACACTTTCAGACGAATTCGATGTCAACAACGGAGTAAAGTTCACAAAGTTTGTGAAAGTTAAAAAAGTGAGTGATAAAAATTAACTTATTACCAATAAAAACTTATTATTAATATTGTGCCGTTCCTTTGTGGCCATATAATATCAAAACTGCACCTGACAAAGTATATTCAGTCATTGTGTTGAGTCTTTTTACACGGGAATTTAATAATTTAACACTGAAAACGTATTAGTTATTAACTTAACACTCTTGACAGTGTATGCTGACGTCACGTTTTATTCAACCAATAGCGTTGCGTTTTAGAAATTTTGCGAGGCAATCTTAAAAAAGCCAATTTTTAGATGATTAAATTTCACTATTAAATTATAATAAATTTCAAAAATAATTGTATGGGTATCTTTTTTTAGCAATAAAAATTACAAATAAAAATATTTTGTCCATTTTGGTGTCACGTGCATATTCCCTATTGTTGTATTTAGCGCCCATATCTAATAAGATTGCGAACAGTAGAAGATAATAGTGACCATGGGAAAGGTTCACTTTTATTTGAAGAATCGATAACAAAAACAACTAGAATAATCGTTTTACATTACTGTCGTACTGTGCTATCGGTCAGGACCGCCTGACGTGGTTCAATGAATGTTACTATGCTACCCACTAAAAACTTAGTGTTGCTTGTTCTTGTTAGTTTTTATTGTAAATCTGATTATTTTGAGGTTACCAACAGCAGTATAACCGCGTTGGTTTGCACGCATCTGGCCTCAGTGGGGTCATGATACCAAGTGGATTGATTATTCAAAAGTGCCAAGAAGTTTGAATAACTGTTGGCGTACCTACTGAAGTTCTGCGAATTAAGCAACCGTCCGATCCTTTCGGGATTCGAAAAATTAAGAAAGGATGGCACGTTATCGGTGATAAGACTGATAATTTAAGTCACGGTTAAGAAATATTGGCTCTAGATTACTTCATAACACTTCTACGCTATTTGCTTTAATAAGAATTAAAACTGCCTGTGTCTTCTCAGTCGCTATACAATGGTGGAACGTTGAAACTAAACTAGTTTGCAACAAGACTCCACGGCACACAGTGACTCGTAAAACTAGCAAGCCAATATACTTACTCTTCCTAATTTTATCGGAAAAAGTAAGATGTTACTTTAACATGTTTAAAAATAAATAAAATCATTTGTGAAATGTTCTCCTCTCGGGACTCAAACTATCTAGAGACAAAATTTATCTATCTAATTCAGTTCAGCGGTTTAAGTGTGAAGAGGTAACAGACAGACAGACAGACACACTTCCGCATATGTTTTTTGGATTAATGTAACATCATATTGATACTGAAGGCATACATTCAATACCTAATTTATGTAATTTATAATCTGTCTAAACATATTTATACAGATTATAAATTAAAACAGTTTATCGCTCTGGTTAATGACGCAAGCTACGATGAAGAATGCACGGTTAATCGAATTCTTGTTAATACCTATTTAATTATGATAACAATAATCTAACAAGGGTTTGATAGTAGATACAATGTAGTCCTCTATGTGTTAATAAAATAATATGAAGTATAGTAGCGGGCAGATAATACGAATCATATGTGATTCCAGGTGTCCTGCAAAGCTGTAAAGACAGGACAGGAACTGAACCAGCTGAAATGCGAATGTCTAGTTGGCTAGGATTAACTAGATGAGGAATTATTACATTGTAGAAGATCTGAAAGAAGCGCAATTGGAAAAATAACTAAAATGCAACAGGTTATCTTGGAATGATCATCACCATCAGCCTATAACAGTCCACTGCTGGAGATAGGCCTCTCCTTAGAAATAATGTTTTGGCCTACTACTTACTTGGTACTACTACTTGGTACGGAGATTTGATACGGAGATATGGTCTCTTCGAGTTTTATTTATGGAGGTTAATTAGCCGACTTGAATAGTTGGATGGACCGCTTGAAAGAAGATTTAACTAGAGACAGTAACCAATGAAAGAATGGAAAATAACAATTAAATAATGGAGTGGTTAGAAATGGATTGAATGGAATGGCAATGGAAAAATGAGGCACATTGCGTCGATTCCGAATGTATTCGGGGATAGGGCAAGAAGATACGTGGTGATGATGATGCTGGTGATCAAAACTTTTGAAATTTGTCATGATGGGGTGCGTCTAACAGGTCCCGAACATTAGGTTACAAATACAAAATTAATAGCAAGATGTTGTTCAACGTTTATGGAGATTTTTTAGCATTATCCGCAGCCTTATCTGCTGTATGTTCACGGTCAGCTTGTTGGGAACTGCTCTCATTCAAAATAACGACTTTCGTCTAAGAAGACGATACTCGACAACTCAATAACTCAATATTACGATATATGATATCGTAGTATCGAGATGTCAGATCTACCATTAGACTGATATTTCACGAGCAGATGAGTACAATCAACTACAAATATTGTTTCTTAAAGTTTATAAAACCAAAGAGTAATCTGTGTGGTGTCAGTTAATACCTTTTGTAATACGTTGCACTAAAGTGTATATATTAGAAGTGGTAATGACCTCGTGGTGTAAAAATGTTTATGTAGTGTTAAAACATAAATTGCTTTAAATACATATTTTTTATTTTAGTAATGTGGGCCACGTAGCCAACCACGTACCTTACGCCAATTTGTACAGAATCTATCCTCAGTTCCTTTTTGTATACTCGTAGATCTTTAATATTACTATTAAAAGAAGATATTAGTAAAATCTTCATTGTACACCAGCTTGTTGTTTTTTTTTTTTACAAGAGTACATCAACAATGTTGACTTAACTGTTTTAATGTATATATTTATTTTCTTTTATAGATAATTTTGGTATGTTTACTGTATGCAAGGAAATTATTTTGAAAAACAAAATGTCTTTTGTACCCGTATTTCGAAGTAACTGACCTGCTGAGTGGTCAAAACTAAAGTCTCTGTTTAAAAAAACAGATTAGGTGAAATACAAATTAGTATTAAAGTAAGTAAATGTGCAGGCGGATAAACTACGTATATAAAATACGTCCACAAATTCTTGTCAATCAAATATTTGCACCTTAAGAGTATCATATATACACTTTAGTGCAACGTATTACAGTAACAAATCTAAAGCTTAATTCAGTTGAAAGCATTGAACTTCTGTTATTGACAGTACTATCCGTAGAATTACAGTTGTATATATGACAGCTTTCTAATAGCTCTAATGCGCTGTGATCACTTTGTAAATAGGTTTGTTGTAGTGCAATGAACTTAGCCTTACAATTGTCATAGAGTGAATTTTTATTAAATGAATTTGGCATTCGTCTGCTGGTTTGTTAATGGCTTTTAGTGAATTAAAGAATCGAGGCTGAAAATTCAACGCATTCAGTTATAGTAAGAACTAACAGTACGGTATGACAACGTCTCATTCTGCCTTGAATATTAACGATTCGTCATATCATCCACATTATTTTTCTTCGAAGGAAAAATGGTGAATGCAAAAATTTCTACCAAACCGGTTTAATATCAATACGGTACCGAGTCTTTATCGTACTTCAAAACCTCTTGGATTATGGAGGTTTACAAACGTTAGATGAGGTCGAATGTTTATAAAGTTACTTTGATACTATCGTATGTATGGCGTATTAAACCTTTTTACTCAACAATTTATGAAAAAAGAGCTACGGTACGTAGTGCATCTTATATTGTAAAAAAAACAAGTAGATAATCTATACAAATAAATAAAATTGGCTATTTGTAATATTAAAATAACCGCTTTTTACTAAATGCATATGTATGTTTACACGGTAGATATGCCGAAATAACATTTTTTTAAATTTTTGTCTGTCTGTCTGTTTGTTCCGGGTAATCTCTGGAACGGCTGGACCGATTTCGACGGGACTTTCACTTGCAGATAGCTGATGACATAAGGAGTAACTTACTTTTTTTAGACTAGCTTCGCCCCGCGGCGTTGCCCGTGGTTATAACAACAAACGCGGGTAACACCGCGGGTCTCAGCTAGTAATAATTAAATTTAAAAAAAAAACAGATTTTATTGTGCCTTAAAAAAACATCATCATAATCATCATCAACAGCCTTAAATAGTCCACGGTCCACCAAAAGAGGTTTAAAATTACAAAAAAAAAACAAAAAATAATTTATAGTACGAGTAATAAACTGTATCTAAATTTATTGTAATAACTGGTGCTAATTCTGTTGTTCGAAAACTCTCTATACTAAACTAAAAATCACTACTACATTACTTAATTTCCCAACCTTAGGGATGGTATTTTTACTTATAAGTAGATTGGGCCCAAACGGGAAGTATAAAACCAAATAAAAATGGATTTTTCAAACATTAATGTCAGGAGTTTTAGGTATTGGAAACAATACAACTAAATTGAGTTCCTCTTTCTAAAGTTGGTTCATCATCATCATCCACTGCTGGACATAGGCCTCTCCTTAGAAAGGAGGTTTTGGCCACGCTGGCCAGACGAGTTGGGATAGGGTTTGTGTCAAGTTTTCCTTCTCTCTGCAGTGCTGTTGTTCTTGCGTAGCCTGCTCCCTTAGTCGCCTCTTACAACACCCACGGGATGAATCGGGGTGGTAACACTCTGTATTCTTAATCCGTC